GTCTCGACCACCGTTCTCCTACTAGGGTCAAAGTGAAGAAGGATTGGAGCGCTTGTGAACAGCCTCTTGAGTTCTTCAAAGGCCTGCTCATGTGCTGCTGTCCAATACCATTTCTTGTCTTTTTGCAGGAGGTCAGTTAGTGGTTTGCAAACCTTACTGAAGCCTTCAATAAAGCGGCGATAGAAGTTTGCAAATCCGAGGAATGCCTGTACTGCCTTGATATTCTCAGGGACCGGCCATTCCTTAACTGCCTCCACCTTGTCTTCTGACATAGATACTCCTTGTTCCGAGATATGATAGCCTAGGTATTCTACTTCTCGGACATGGAAGGATGTCTTATTGATCGAGGCACAGAGCTTAGCTTCCCTAAGCTTCTGTAGTACCTTCTTGACCAATAGCTCATGCTCTTTCTCAGTCTCCGAGTAGATGAGGATGTCATCGATATAGACAACTACTCCTTCATCCAGTAGTTCCTTTAGCACATCATTGATCATTGCCTGGAAAGCGGAGGGAGCATTGCATAGGCCAAATGGCATCACATTATACTGATACAGTCCATAGCGGGTTCTGAAAGCGGTTTTCCACTCATCACCTTCGGCTATCCTGATCAAATTGAAGCCATTCTTCAGGTCTATCTTTGTGAAGATCTTGGCATTGAACAACCTGTCTCTGAGCTCACTCATGATAGGCAGCGGGTACTTGTCCTTGACAGTGACCTTGTTCAATCCTCTGTAGTCCACACAAATCCGCAATGTCCCATCCTTCTTAGGAATGAACAGTATGGGCGCCGCAGCAGGGCTATTCGATCTAGAGATCTTTCCTGAAGACAACTCTTTGTCCAGGTACTCTCGGAGGGCCTTCAACTCTGGAGCGGAGCATGGGTATAGCGGGCCAAATGGGGGAGCGGTCCCAGGCAAGAGTTTGATCTTCAGATCATTATGGGAATGCGGCGGCATTTCCTCAATCTTCTCTTGACTGAACACATCAGCCCAATCCCGGTATAGGTGGTGTATTTTCTCAGCAATATCACCTCCGTCCTCATCGTGCCATACTGAACCAACCAATTGATAGACTGTCTCTTCTTCTTCCAATATTTGGTATGGAGAGATCAGTTCAATCTTGGTGGCCGCTGGGAGACAATTCTGCTTGCAGTAGTCACTCCTCCAGCTCATGGTGTTGAGTTCCCAATTGATGTCCGGGTTATGCTTCCTAGCCCAACTAATTGGCAGGTAACCGGTCATTCCTTCTTCCAGTGTAGCCACCTCCCATCGGAGTGTCTCTTTATGATCTCCCATAGTCATGCGGACCGGGTGAGTGTAATACTCGCCTCCTCCCATCATGACATCTCCTTGAGCATCAAACATTGTCAGAGGTTGATCCCGCCGCACTAAGGGAATTCCATGTTTCCTGACAAAACTCTGGTTGAGGATAGCTCCTGTACAACCGGTGTCAAACAGAAAAGACCCTTGGGCGCCTTCATCCTTTCCTTTGACCGTCCATGACAGTCCTGCCTTTAATATAGGTCTTTTTCCATGTACTGGTAAGGAGGGAAGCCTCTGTTCCAACCTTCTTTGCTTAACAGCGGGTTCTGAACTTGTTTCTCTTTGTCTTTTCAACATAGCTAATAGCTTCGGGCACTACTAAGATCAGAGATCCTTTGGTTCTATTCCCAAGCGGTCATATAGCAGATATATTGTGTAGTAGTCTTTTCTAGCAGCGGTTCGGAAGTGTCTTGGTAGCAAAATGTAACTTTGGTAGAGCACTGACAGACCAGCTGTTTCGGGTCTTAAACCCATCCTCAGAGTGCTTTGAGCAATCAAATAGGCGGAAACACAATCATAATTTATTCAAGAGAAACATAGAAACCCAAAACCCATATAAAAGAAAACTAGTAAACATAGACCCAAACAGACACTTTTCTACCAGAGGATTTCATTGTCCGAGTCTTGCTCAGGCTGCAAAACAAAATCTTCTGTAACCTCCGGGAGTACAACAAGTGGATCTTCTGCTACCACAGCAGCCACTTTAGCTTTCTTCTGAGAGTTGGAACTACCCTTCCCTCTTTTCCGCTTTTGTACTCTCACTGCTGCCACTCGGACAACAGTAGGTTCTCTTGACCAACAATCGGTCCATTTGTGTCTGGACTTGCCGCACTATTGCACAAGTCAGTCTATGCACTCTACCAATAGGGAGTACCGAAAGGTCATACCTTCAAGCATACTTCTGCTTTCCTTCTTTCTTCTAGAATATCCCCCGGGATACCCTTTAGTTCCACCGCTTTGTCTTTAGGTCCAGGAGTCTTCTGAGGTCCGGAGGAGCTCGCAGCTTCTCTTTTCCTCTTAGGCTGCTGGTCCTTCTGAGCAGGAGGATCTTTCTTGGTCCGAGGGGGCGCTTTCTCAGCTGCCATCCCTTGGTACCTCTCATGGGTGTGCCCTAACTCTCTTAGAGCAGCTATCCGCTCCATCAAGGACTTTGGCTTGGGATTGAAAAGAGCCCAACTCATGCCTAGGTCCGCAAGGAGGGAATTGTTGATCTTATCATCCACCAACTGACCCTCATAGCCAGTCTTCCACATCAGCTGAATAATAGTATTCAGGAAGAGATCAATTCCTCCTCGAACTGTGTGGGTAAGGGTATTCCATTGGGCTACAGCATCGTCTCGAGAGATGGCTTCACCGAAGGCTGCTCTAAAAGCATCCACAAAGGAATCCCAGCGCTTCCATCTCAGATCCAAAGTTACCGGTATTCCAGCAAGGCGGTTGGCGGAGGCTTGATCAATTGAATTGTGGTATGCTTCATACCATCGGATCGCTGCCTCTCCTTCCATCAAGTTGCCCGCATATCGGATCTTAACCTCCTCAGAGGTAAATGACAGGCTTTCAATGGAGAACACATTCTCACATTGCCGGATGAAGGTCTCCACTTGCTCCGCTTTGCCCTGGAATTTGGAGGGTGGTGGTGCCTTTGGTTCTCGAGCTCTGGTAGAGGTAGAAGGGTGAGAGGTGGCCGGAGGTTGGTACTGCTGAGACATCATAGCAAACAGATCCTTCTGTTGCTTTGCCAATTTCTTCTTAAGATATCTCCGCCACCTTCTTCTATCACCACCTTCTGGTTCCGAGTCTGAACTGTCAGAACTGTCTGAGTCTCCAGGAGCAGGAGCACGGCCCGCAGGAGGTGGAGGGTTCTGGTTTCCACCGCTTCCACCCTGCACATCAGCTGGCGGGGGAGCGGCGGACTGAGCAGAAGGGGCCACAGGTGCCACTGGTGCCGGATTGCTGGCCAATGGTGAGGTTGCTGCTGGTTGAGCGGCCCCAGACATGGTGAACCTTCCCGGGTTTCTGGCTAGCGGACTGGGAGGTCCTCGGCCTGCACCTGAGAAGAATTCTCCTTCATAATCAAAGGATCGGTCAGCTCCTCCAAGGAGTGGGTGTGTTCCACCGAAGCGGCTAGGTGGTAAGGGCGAAGCCCCCACCGCTGGCTGCACAATAGGGATGACTCTCCTGGTGGATCGGACCGGAAATGCTGCGAAGGGGCTGGCCCTCCGCTGCATTGTCCTGGTGGCTGCCCTAGAAGAGGACCTGGAGACGGGATTTGGTGCCGGAGTTGCTGGTCTAGCCACCACCAGTCTTCCTTCATCAAGAGCTTTCTGTATCTCAGCAACAAAGTCTGGTGGAGTGGCCGGGTTTGTCCACTCAATCTCCATGGCATCGGCATTCAGTTCATCTTTCTCCACATACTTCCGGAGTTCTTCCTGAACAGAGTTGACCTCCATCCTCATGTACTCAAGAGCTTCTGCCATCAGAGCATTCTGTGCTGCCTGGCGCTCTTGTACAAGGAGTAGGGCCTGACTGCCCCGGGTCAACTGATTCTGCAGGCTGTGCTGGAGGTAGGTCTGGAGCTCTGTGAAGAACTGTTGGGCGGAAATCTCGTCGGTATCTTGCCAGGCAGGCTCACAACCGGGGATGTAGGCCTGTAGAGCGGTCCTGGGCTTCTTAACAAGCTGTGTCTGCCCGGTGGCATCAAGCTGTAGGGGCACCGGCTGCCATTCAATCTGAAGGGGTGCATCGGGAGCCGAGAGGGCGGACATTTTGTATAGAGGAAGAATAATCTGAAGGTGATTTGAGCCTTAAAGATTATCTGTAACGGGGGTCCTTTCTAAGAGAAATAGATTTGTATAGAATAGGGACGGCCGTGCAAGATAGACAATCAGGTTGCAGATTATTCAAAGATACTATCGCTAGAACTCAATAATCTTTAAGGGCTCTGCTACCGATAAGAACTTGGTTTTTCTTTTCGATGAAGACTGGAGAGAACAGGACTGAAGGGCGAGAATGAGCCTGAGTACTTATACTCCAAAGGCCTCTGTCCTCTGCTCCTAACTCCTTTACTAAGTTCCGGTGGGCCTTCCCTCAGTACCGGAAAACAATACCACCGCTACCCCGCTTTTCTCTAAGCGTCAGCAGGTGTTTCCGATACCCAAGGCAACCACCCTTAGTCAAAGCCTTTATGACACCTGCAGCCTTGGTTGCCACACAACCGAGGACCTGCATGGATGAGCTGCCGCTCAGGTGTAAGCTTAATCATTGCTGTAGAGTTTCCGCTTATTGTAGACTTCCCTAGCATAGTCCCTGCCCTTCGGCGGACTTACAATGCTCCGAGGATACAGTGGATCACCGGACAATCAGAGCTTCACTCTGGCCGATCTTCTAGACACTGGCGAGGCATAGACTCGTCAGTCATTGCTCCCATGAATAGATCCCCTTCCTAGCGCCCGGAATGTAGTTACTCTAACAGCTGGTAGCTAACCACACTGCCGGTACTTGCATATCACCGTGCAACTGGCTTCTAACAATAACTCTCAGCATGTAACCGGGCCCTGTGTGTACTCATACACCAGACAGTTGAAATGGCTCCGTTACAAGTACAACCAGTTCAGTACCTCCATACGTTGCTTTTCTGGGATAAAGATATCTTATGTGAGCTTGATTACCAAGCGAACATTAAAAACTTTGGAAGATGGCCCTACTGATCCGGAGTGCTTCATCCTTTGATTTCATTGCATTTATTTCTTTTACACCTGTCTCGATGACTTTCGATCGAATTCTTTTACAAATTTTAGCAATGACACTTCTATATCTTTCTTAATTTCTTAAAAAAAAAAAAAAAAAAAAAAATCCACATACACTTGATCCGCATTCATGGCAAGTGTAACAAGGTTCTTGAATCTCTCGATCTTCGAGACATAGTTCAAAGTTTCCTGCTCTTCGCAAGGCCATTGTAGCCTTGAAAAGCTCATATCCCACCAGCGCCCTTTTGCTTTGATACTGCTATTCTCTAATTTGATCTGGATGCTAAGCAGCTCAGAAACACAGCTTTGTAAAGGGCCTTGGATTTGTAGTAGCGCTGGGCCATGGTCGTTCGCGCAGATGCTCAAAGTCGTGAGGACTGTGGTTAATGACTTGAGCTCATCCGCAAGCTTTCGAATTTCGTCTGGTGCCCGCTTTACACCACTAATATACGAATAGCTAAGAGAAGCTACCTTTGTTGTGATGTGGATAATCCCGAGAATACTCGCTGCCAGTCCTACTGCTTCAGCCATTTGGTCAGCTCGAAGTGTGAAATCAGCTCGTTATCGACGTGCGCATGGAGAATTGAGTTAATCCAACCCCGCAGTTGATTTAGGACGTGGACTGCTACTTGGTCTTGTGTAACATTTGTTACTAAACTGCAGCTGTGCGGTGGGAGAAGCCACTGTACAGTGAGTGGTAGAAATATGGGAGGAGTCCTATTGGCCCAATCAGCCATACAAACCCTGCTCTCAGACCGGCCTTTTTCTACAATAATTCCACCTCTCGCTATATGCAGTACTACTAGTAAGAAGCGGCCTCCGGCCGCATATAAAAAATCAAATACCAGTTCGCGGATATCTGAAGAAAAGTATATAAAAACCCAGAAAACTCGAGACTCTGTTTAAGCCTGAGCTTCATGGTAATTACGCGAAAATTGGCACGGTGATACTCAATAACATAACTTCAAGGGGTAGTGGATACATAGTCCCCAAAAGAGGGGTGATTTGTTGAAAAAGAGCTCGCAAACTGTGGCTCGAAGCCTAAATTTATAACATTTGGAAGAGAAGAATTAACTACATGTATCTAGTATCGAAAGTGTGAACTATGTAGATCAAAAGTCAATAATATTAGTCAGGGGAGCGATTATAATAGCAATACAGATTTACATCGCATCTCCCTTAATGCACTCGATACGTACATGATGTAGTTCTCGTCTTTCAACTCAACTACATGTATAGAGGGCCCGGACATGAATGCTTACAAGACGGGTGATTTTAATGTTAGAGATCATCATTCCCTACAAACTCAAATAAAGACATAAAGTCGTACGTAAGCACTCTGGAAGCTTGTACAGAAGCCTACCAGGCTGCTTCGGGTTGACTGTAATTACCTATCGATAACTTTAATCATAATATCTCACTCGATTCTAGGATTCTACCACGCGTTTTGCCCGACCAGCAACTACATATAATCACCCCAATCAAAGAAACCCCCCTCTAGTACCAAATAGAAAGCGGTATTTACATCGACATCCCATGCCGTCAAATAACTAGATGGAGAAAGTAACGAAAAACAAGAAAGGCACGTAAAAGAGCCAGGACTAGGGAATCATATTGCATCATACCACAGTACAATCATCAAAACACATACCTCTTAAGCGGTACAAAAAGGGAAATTGATATAAATATAAACATACAAAAATGTCACCCGCGTCACCAACGAACTAATGGTGATGGTGCCCGACCTGCGTCAATAGCGGCAACAGCATCCCAAACACAGCCGCGCACGTATCCTTAACACCCGGCTTCTCTACCATCGCCGCCTGTTCCATCATTGTATGCATGGCTACATATAGAAATGTCCCTCCACTAAACAGCAGCAGCACACCTGTCCACCACTGCATACCCGCGCCGCCCACCTCCTCTCCACCCAGCATGTTGACCAGCACCCATGTCACCAACGCTCCCAGAGGCGCCGCCATACTAAACACAACTAGGTGCATCTTCGCCTGGCGCTTTCCCAAGCCAGCTCTCAGCAAGACCGCTGATAATCCGAATGCTGCTGGCGCCTTATGCAGCATGATAGCGACGAAGATGATGGCCTCCAGCGCAACATTGGAGGAAGTCGAGGAAGCACCCAAGGCAATGCCGTCTGCAGCGGCGTGTATCACAAGGCCGAGTGTTGTAGAGGCCGGGCGTGAGGAGTGCGGGTGGAGAGGGGTATCTGGCGGACTGCTGAGTGAGTGAAGAGAGTCCAACGCAATATGATATGGAGCGGTAGTAGTGTGCGCGTGCGTTGGGATGACATCGATAAGGTACATTAGGATGAACCCGGATATTAGGGAGAGACCGACCCATTTGTGGGCTCCCGCGTCTGACTCGTGGTCATGGCCGTGGTCGTGGTCTTCCCCTTCCTCTGCTGGCGGCGCATCGATGACGCCGCCGGTGTTAGGGTCGGTGTGTGTGTGTCCATGCTCTTCGGCATCATCGCCGCGGGGGTACAAAATTGGTATTTCCCTCCTTGTGATCTGGTGATCAGGGACCCAGATGCTTCTCGCGGCGGGCTCGGATGAGGTTCGGACGGCTGGGACGGAGGGCTTTGCGCTATAGATTGTGTCGATTCCTTCGGGGATGATGACGATCATACTAGTGCCGACTAGAACGCCCATTCCGATAGTCGATATTAGGCGAATCTGAGACGGCGAAAGGGATACTACAAGAGGCAGGAAACCGGCGCCCAGGGAGCTAGATAGGGGTGTGAGTTTTGGACGAATAGACCATTGGGGTGCATGAAAGAAACGTACGCCAATGCCATAGCGATGCTGAAAAGAAGCAGCGTTCCTAAACCATCTGCCATGTTGGAAGAGGTGAGAGTGGTGGTAGTCGGGAGTGATTAGCTTTGCGGTATCTGTTGCGCAACGTTGATGGGGGAGACTTTTCGGCGTTTGAGTTGAACAAGTATTGACCGATTCGCACAATGGAATAGAATATAAGGGTAGTTAGGGTTAGGCGGATGTCATTAATTCGTGAAAGAAGGCGTTATTGCGGAGACTCGGCACAGAGTTAGAGGGGGGTACCTTGGTGGAACAGGTAGGTATGGAGTTGGAAAGAACGGTGACGACCGTTTTTGTTGTAGCTTTGTTGTTGAGATGATCACTCACTCCTCCTCTTCGAGTATGTATCAATGCGCTAGAATAATCTAACACAGGATATCCAAGGGCCATGCATATTCAAATGGACATACACTCCGTACAAGTGATAATTTATCTTGTGATAGCTGGAAACAATCCTGCTCAACCTTAATTCTATTTCTGAATACTTCAAGTTTTTATGGCACTGAAAAGTAATGGTAATTGTTAATAATAATAACTAGCTAAATCAAAGAACTGCGGGATAGTTTGCATTACCACGTGGGATTCATATAGATTTGTGTTAAGACAAATCTTCTGATATCAAACACACATCTGCATAACTCCGATTTAGTTGGTTGCTGTAGTATCCGATCGTGATCTGCGCGCGCGACGCGACTTCCTCGAATAATAATCCTCGCGACGTCCTTTAGCCCAACGACTATCATCAAACACAAATACCAACACTCTGTCACATATCTCACAATCAGCACCAGATCACCCGAAAGAACGTACCCAACTGACCTCAGAATGGAACCAATCGACGAATGGTCTGTTGACGCCAATGAGGCCCTAACACTCTCCCTCCACTCCCCGTCCTCCGGGGAAGAGCTCTCGACTTTTCACCCAAAGTTCACATACCCCATTTTTGGCGAATCGGAGACCATCTTTGGATATCGCAACCTCAATGTCCGTCTTGCGTTTGCAGCGGACAGCATGTCTCCCTGCCTCGACGTGAGCTGGGACAAAAAGAAGAAACCCGTTGGCGAAGTCGTCGCAGAGGATGTAGAGGCCATACTGCAGGAGTACCTTCCTGAAGGTTTGCGCGCCCATCTATAGTTTGTTAAACAAAAAGATACCTCCTAACAATTTTATAGAAGCCTTCAAAAGTGACCTCAAAACCTTCCAAAACACCCTCGCAAACAAGACCGCCCCCTTCACCCCCCCAGGATCCCTCCTCCATACCTCCACGCATCTCGATACCACTTATGAAATCTGGCATGCCAATCTGTCAGATCCCCTCTGTCAAGACCTTCTCTCTCGGATCCAGATCCTTATCCTCCTCTTCATTGAAGGCGGCACCTTTATTACCCTAGACGACGATGAGTGGTCTCAGAAGCGCTGGGATATCTTCTTCCTATATGCCAAGTCTCCCTCAAACGAATACTCCTTCATCGGCTACTCTACCGTCTATCGGTACTACTACTTCTCGCCTTCAGTCGAGAACCTCGCCCGCGCACGCCTCTCTCAGTTCCTGATCCTTCCACCCTACCAGCGCCAGGGTCACGGCTCGCGCTTTTATGATGCTCTTATAGCGCACTATCTTGAAGACCCCGCAACACTCGAAATCACCGTCGAGGACCCATCCGAGTCATTCGCCGATCTGCGAGACTTACGGGATCTAGGCAGGTTACAAACGGGAGGGGCATTCAAGGGGCTGACGCTCACAGCGGTGTCGAAGAAGGACTTCCCGCTTGAGGCGGTAAGGAAGGCGGCAAAGATGCCGGAGAGACAATTCGCGAGGTGTGTAGAGATGGCGCTACTACAGGATTTACAGGAGAAGGATGGCAAAAAGAGTGACGAGCGGAAGAGGAAGGACCGAAACTGGAAGATGTTCAGGTTAGTGGTCAAGGGCAGGATCTATAAGCAGAATAGAGATACCTTGGCGCAGCTTGATCGGTTGGAGAGGATTGATAAGCTGGAAGAAACATATTTCCATGTCGAGGATGAATATAAGAGGTTGTTGGAAAGTGTGAAAAACGGGAGGGCTATCGAAGATAAGGAAGGCATCGAGAAACGGGCAAATGAAGAGGAGGAGGAAATGGATATGGGCAGGCCAAAAAAGAAAGCTAGGGTTTAGTAGATATATGTAGTCAGAAACCTGGATTGATAGGCGTTTTGCAGCTTTTTTCTCTCTTTTTTTCCCCCGGATCTTTCCCACACTCTATATCATCACTTTTTATTTACTCCAAATGTAGTGTGGAGAGAGAGATGTCTTTACTGGTTCAATTGCGTAGGATTTCCTCTACCCTTTTCTGTTCTTTTTTATTTCTATGACTATGCCTTAATGCCATCGTGCCCATATTACTCTATCCTATAATGAGCTTTATTTTTGCCTCTCAACCTTGGTTTCCGTCGTAGAGCTACATATACGTAATGTAACACCCAGAAAACTCATTACATTTATCCCCCACTCTCTCTCTCTTATGGAGTTAGTTTGGGTGAATGGTCTTTACTCATGGCCTGTCACTCGATGATCAAAGCATTGTACACTGAGTGATTGCGTACATTGTTAACTACGTATACAGTCTTGAGATCCTGGTCGCAAAGTGCATAGCTAAGTACATGTACTCCGGTGGGTAAATGGCCAGGGCTACTACTTTACTGTACTGTGTGGGAATATCACTATTAGGAGTTGAGTGTTTCTCTCAGTATGATTGACACATCCTCGTTAACCCCGGGTCCCGGATACATATATACCGAGTATGGAGCTGAGATTAATTAATGAGACTAGGCTAACCACTAGAGCTACTATTCCTACATATATTCCTACATGGCATGTCACTCGATACCCATACATAACCTTCAAGAGTACGTATCGTATGTAGCTGCGTGTTTACCCAGAGTGAGCGCCTAATTAAAACAGCTTGGCCAAGACTGATAATGCATTCGATCGCGTAAAAATCACGAGCAGGTAGTTCCGTACCGTAGACATGCGGGACCTTCTATTTACCAGAACAATTTAGAATAGTTAATGAAGACCCCTATCTTGGGGGCGGGAGAGGGTTAGTATTTATGCCCGTATTGCCAACTAGTGGGTTGGGGACTCTCCTACTCATACATGTATATTATCGTTTGGAGCCTAGTTGAGACCAGATAGTGGAGCTCCTTGGATATAGTGTGGGCTATGTGCATGTGCGGGGTATGCTGCAGGTCTGGCCTCGGTGTTGCGTGTGGTGGGGGAGGGGTGAGAATGAGATCTAGAGTTTATTCCTTTTCTCCCGGTCCTACTATCGACTCTGCACCACGTCGTACACTACATACATGTAGATAATTATAATTATTATTGAAATGCATGTGTTTTTATTCCGGTTTTAAAAGCATTAATTTCCGATCCACCAACAACCAATTACTCATGGTGATAGTCTCTTATTGAATAGAGGATTGATGCCTACATGTTAGAAGATGGTACATATTAAAGATTTAAGCCAATCCTCGGTGGTGTCTGGAGCTAGTGCTTTCGGTTAGTCTAGGGTAATGGTAAATTGCTTTCTCGAGTGAGATGTGGTGAAGATAAGAAATTGATAAGACTGACCTCTGTATGCTTGGCGGCCCCACACACCTCAAGCTCAGCAACCACAAGTCGGGCTAAATCAACATAGCTACAGAACACCACCAACCTCCTTCATCTATAATCGGTCTGAATCCGTAATCATGAGTGATCCTTCACTAGGTGTTCGCTCAGGTCTTCAAGGTATGGTCCTTGGGACCAAACACAAGGCCGATGTACGTACAAAGAGCTGACAGGAGAGATCGCAGGTCGAGTTAACCACAACCTAGACATTCTCCTCAAGCGGTTTGAGAACATATCACAACTAGCGCCTGTAAGCACTCCCACTCCCCCTACTAACCACTACCCCCACGCCACGAGTCTGATCCATCCGTCAAACTAGGTCGAGGGGAAGGGTCGCGAAATCACCGCGGCGGAAACGTATCAAATCGAATGTCACGCCTCAGCTATGATTCGGGCAGCAGAGGACTTGTTGTCTTTGACGAGATCGTTAAAAGAGGCGTGGCTGTTTGGACAGTTGGGCTCGGAACTCGGTGTGGTCGATCCGGCGACTGATGAGAACGCGAAACAGGTGGGAGAGGCACTGCAGAAGCTTGCTAGTAAGCCGAGATCGAGTACATAGCTGTACCCACAAGTGAAGTATCATTACAGATGATAAGAGGGTTTTTTTATAACTCTGTGGAGTGTTCAAATGGCTTGAGGTGTATTATATGCATGCTGGAGTTGATCCTTTGGGAAGTATTATTTTAGTGATAATTTTTAAACGTACATTTTTTATTGTGATCTTTGATAGGGCCGTTCAACGAGACAAATGGAACAATACATTTGGTTCTTGACCGGGGAAACATACTCTAGTAGGGTCGATCCTTTATCTTCGCTCCAATAAGATTCGACTAGTCTCAAATCGTATTACCTCAAATTACATGCCCATTGGATATCAACTCAATAAATGTGAAGATCGATTTCAACCCCATTCAAACCAAAGATAGGACAGTATCATCCAATGAAGCCACAGTATGTGGATTTCCTATCAATAGAAAGAGGCCAAGGCCCACAGTTGTTAAAGTAGATCTCCATGTCAAGGATCGTCAGTACACACAGCTGAGCCTCACCTTAATTCAACGTCACCTTCCCCTCTCAATTAATCACCTTCCCTTCTCAATTGATTGGTTCATTAATTGTATACCTTCCCCTCTCAAGCTCATAGAGAGAAAACGAACTTTGTAAATTCCGAGAATTGCTTATGTTCTCATAGAGTAACTCATAAGTATCTTTTTTTTTAGTTAAATATATCATGTGACCGGTAACTATGAGGCGAATTAGGATGATAGATATTCGTTTGACCTACTGAATATCTTGGCCACATTTTAATCCCTGTCCGCCAACAAACGAGTGGGAGATAAACAATATGTAGGTACATGTATTTTTCAGGGCTGGCCGAGCTCTTGCTAGCGGATACTTGAGACATCACGATTGGAGTCACTAAAATCTAACAACGTCCGATCCTCACCGCAACGCATTGCACCCATCATGACTTCACACCCCGCAACCACGACCACGACAATGCCTCCCACACCGCTCACCATAGTCGTCGCTGCCACAAGCGCTACCCTCGGCATCGGAAAGTCTGGGGGTCTCCCGTGGCGTCTCCGGAAAGAGCTGTCCTATTTTGCTCGCGTCACCAAACGGCTCGTGCCTGAAGCCCCAAACAAGAAGAATGCAGTCATCATGGGACGCAAAACCTGGGACTCAATTCCAGCGAAATTTAGGCCATTACCGGACAGGATCAATGTTGTTGTGTCTCGGACCACAAACAATTCTGTGGGAGAGGATGCGGTGGTGTGGGCGAGATCGTTAAATGATGCGTTGGTGGCATTGAAGTCTGAGGGTAGCGGGGAGGTGGGGAGGATCTTTGTCATTGGGGGCGCACAGCTTTATGATGTAGCTATGAGGTACCCCGGTACCACGAGTATCCTCATAACTATCATCGATAAGGAATTTGATGTGGATACCTTTTTCCCGGTGGACATCAGGGATCCGGCGAATGGGTGGAAGAAGAGGACGCATGGAGAGCTTTCAACGTTTGTTAATGAGGATGTTCCGGAGCATATGCAGGAGGATGGGGTGCCATATGGGTTTGAACTCTATGAGAAGGACCAATAAGAGCGTACGCAATGGGAATCCTAAAATATTTTGCGTAATAAATATTTTTTTTTTCATCAGGTGAATTGAAACTTGAACCTTATTCCACACAAACAAACACCTAGATATTCCCGTACATACTACCGTACCGAGTACCACTAACAATCTTGTTCCAACCCATTATTGCGTAGAAGCGTCACAGCCCCAATTCCCACACCAAAACACCAAAGGAAAAAGAACAATATTCAAACCCCATCATAGTTACCCTTGTTAAGGACCGCACTATCCACTCATCCGATATCGTACTCGATGCCACGATCAAAAAGAAAATAAAAAACACTAGGCCTTGCAAGAAGAATAAAAAAGAGATAAAAAGTCGAGACTTATAACCTTTTTACCAACAAATAATCATTGGCCATAAACAGTAATCAAAACAAAGCGGGCCATGAAGAAAATAAAGTAAAAGGAATTGGAGTGGGTGAGGGGAAATGTACGACGTATCATATGTCAGTCTCATTTGAGTTCCTTCTCCTGCCTCACTTCCTGCCTTTCGACCGGAGATCCATCGTCAAGAATAAATTGACCAAAATGTTTCAAAGCAGCCAGACTCTCCTCTCCCGCAGGAATAATATTTTCCTTTGGAAGCAAGAACCCATAACTACCAGTATCCCTAAGTTTGATCTGGTAGGCATATGGAACACGATAATCCGCATAAAAGAAGTCCATCATACTTCCACCAGCCCCTTGAAACCCCACAAACCCAGTGCCTTCACATGCAGATGTCACTTCATAGTGTTCACCAGACTGTTGGCGGATGGCTTTGGCAAGGCCGAAACCAAGCTCTTCAAGGTTCTCAAGGTCGGGCGGCATGTTATCACAAGAGTAAGAGTATGGGTAGAGGACTAGAGACAGGATTAGTAAAGTTGACCATAAAGACGGGCTGTAGAAAGCTTACTCTGTTGCGAATAAGAATGAAAGTCAAGAAGACCAACTACTGGGGTACCCTCTGCAGATAAATTGCGCGCAAAATCAGCAAAGGTCTTCGCTTCGGTGGCTTCAAATGGGTTGGTCCCAGGGAACACTGAGAAAATGTATTAGCGCGTTGAAATATTTCTGGGTAGAGATAAAGGTTTCATACTATCACTGCAAGGGTTTCCTTGCGATGAAGGTGATCCGTCGAAATGGAAGTTGTAAGCTCTGTCAAGATCAATGCCCTTGCAAAACGACAGCCCAGTCGGCTGTCGGTTCTTCCTCCATAAACGATCGGCATCCCAGGTGTATGCGTAACCATCAACATTGAGAGTCGGAATGAAAACCCAATTAAAGTGATCAACAATTGTATTGATATCCATATCTTCCTTTCCGTATCCGGAAATAAGCGAATATGCCAGGTAGCATACGGTTGAAACACTTATCCATTCACGGGCATGGGCGGCTCCGGTGACGATGATTGTCAGTTTTTTGTTGCCACCGATGTCTTTGGTTCCTACTCTAAGTGCCTGGATTTCACGACCTTCATAGCTCTTTCCGATGGAAAACACTTCAACAAAGCTAGGGAAAAGAGATTCGAGGAGTTTCATCCATGGGAGGATCACTGATGGTGGTTGGTAATTTTGGAAAAAAAGATTCTCAGTTTCCAACCTCGCCATGTCTTCTTTGGAGTAGACATTAGAGGCGCCAGTGTAGGTATCCTGCGCTGTCCGGGCAAGGTCATGCATCAGACGGAAATGGGAGTGTTGCATAGATTTTGGTAGTAGGCCAAGTAAAGAGGGCACCTAGCCGTTCCGGTGGCATCAGTACCAATTATTGTTTAAAGAAAGCACCGGTGAGGGCATACCATATCTTCAGCCATCCTAATATCGGCGTGGCTCCTGGTGGTAGACCAAACATCTAGATATAGAATATGAGAAGCCTCGGCGAGAGCTTTCGCCTCTTCCGGCGACGACAGGTTAAACCGAAGCACTACGTCGCCATCATATTGAGATATAATCTTAGAAGTCTGGCTCAAGCGTTTCTGCTGTTCTCGCCTCGTTCCATGCCGAGTGGACTTTCCGAACAAGCTTCCAACGACGGTATCACGGATCTTGGTAGTCCACAGACGGTCATCATGATCTTCGGCCACAGCGGATTGCGGGATCAAGGTATTCGGTGTAGGCTCGGCAACCGTAGAGCGGCGTACCACTGAGTCAGGAATTATGGCGGCATTGGCAGTGGACAGCAGCAAGCTTGCGGCTGTCACTGCCAACGTGAGCACGTTTGTGTTGAAGTGCATGGAACACTAGCTTGTGGGGATCGAAGAGAGCGAGCGAGGCACGAGGACACGATGGGATGGGACAGTTGTGAGTGTCGAATGAGTATGAGATGAATGATTCTAGGTGGCAGTTTGAGGAGTGGATAACCTGATCCTCACTGAAACTCACTTCGCAGTGGGTGGAACAGTCAGATAGTAAGTTCTACAAGGCGCAGCGGCTGGCGATGTCCTTGAACGTTAGGGGGTATGGTCATTGGTCCTTGCTAGCTTGCACAAAGGGATTGTTGCGTTTAATGGCGCATGCTATATAAAATCGCTAAAATAATACTTTTGCGTTGTTTGGAGTGTGCTGCGTGCTCTACAGATCGCAAGCAGTGATCTAACATCCTTGGAACGAAATAGATCTTTGACTTGAGACTCGATACTATTCGCTATTTCGATAGGCACTTGATTATGACAACGAAGAGTAGGTAATCGTGACAAGGTAGTACATACAGTGGAGTCGACAGAAAAAACTCACGTAAAAATAAAGGCAATTGTACTTATAAATTATGGTGTGACACGAATGTTCACGTAATTTGAAAGGTGTACATATTTCTGGGGGTACTGTATGAATCAACCGCATGTAACTCTTTCTCTCGGTCATCTGGAAAATCCCCACCAAACATACAACTTGAGAGGGCGGGCCTTGACCTTTAGCTTTGGGCCCCCGCATGTCCTAGCTTCCGGAGCTCGATCGCCGACGGTCTTGGCAACGGTAGAGCGGATGAACAGCGAAAGTCGGTCTTGTTGCGAACCCCGCAATGGCGCCCACATCCCTTTCCTATGAGCTCCGGATTCGAGTTTACCCTGCCAATCAGCTTTACTTTAAAAGCCAGCGTAAAATACCTTAATTAAGTACATGCCTACAAGTACTATTTTAGGAACAGAACGACTTGTGAACGACTTGCTAGTTGGTATCTACTTTCATGAATTCATGCTGACTGGTTCAAATAGATTTTCACTATCATTCACACTGTTATGACTACACGTACCTATTATCGCCACAATCCTCACAGTTTTGGTCGATAGTCAATGACAAGACGACATATCTAATAAGTATATAGATATACCGATATGCAATGTGTTATTTAAAGGTTTTGATTGGCCAGGTTTGAGGGGTTTTCTTTTTCTCTATCAAATATGTTTGTCAGTAAGTAGATATTCTATCAAATATGTTGGAGTTAGTAGATATTCTATCAAATATGTTTGTCAGCCAGTAGATATTGGTTCCAACATACCTTGAGTCAACCAAATAGTATATCAGATATGTGCACAGGGCATCTTGGGGTTTCAGTGATCTTAGGCGTTGGTAAACTGATATTGTTTAAGCCATAACAGTTCCTACTCCGGCCAAAGGCCGGAAAATGCTTGTATCCAGATACATGTATTAGTTCTTCAGGAAGCACATGTGTATACATGCTGCAATGACTTTAGCTAACTGTCCAAAGTCTTGTTCTTTACCAGGCCTATTTCTTAGATCAGCCGCTGATTCTTAGAAACAACAAACAATGATTTAATATTTTCCGTGCCATCGTGGATCGTATTCCTCAAATTAACTATGTCCGTGCATCGCGGCGTGGCTGGTCAAAGCATTCATTTGGGTTTTCAGACCGAAAATATCAGTTCTATGATATTCATCTGGGATCATATATGCTGTCCTTAATTTGGGTTACCGTAATGTGCGATGAGTTTCGCATGGCCAAATTCACCGGTCTAGGCCTCTAATCGCGCCGTACCTATGTGCACCAAAAATACAATTAATACCATTTTCGTGCCAGCGCAAGGTAGCTTGTAATTTAGTTTTAGTGTCTAAGAGCCCGTCAGTGCAAAAGTATATCCGGCCAAATCCCACTTCAACGATCCACTAGGCGGGGTGAATTATGTGTTGAATCATCACTAATCACTCACTCGATTTTGGATTTCTCGAATGATCGCCAAATATATATTGCAGCAATTAACAAGTACTTGTATGCATCTACATGTATGTACATACATGTAGTACTCTAGATCTAATAGCAATACTTCTAGTTAAGGATCAAGCTAAGCGAGTGAGGCTTAAAATTAAAAGCCAGTTGATAGGATTGATCAGTTTCGCAAGGGGTTCTACCGGATACATATATGTGTATATACATAGATGTAATCCGTCATGATTTATATTCTTTTTGGAGTTGAGAATTCTAGGCATGGGGAGAATGTTATCAACATGCTTTATACGTCATCAAAGACGGCGAAGAAGGTAACAAGGATCTGAGTACATGTGGAGTACTAAATTTTGGAGTATGAGGAATGTGATGGAGCCGGGTTCACACCCAAATATATTACATATGTACATACCAGCCAGAGATTGTCCTGCACCCATGGTTCAAAGTAAAGCTTAGATACATATTTACTGTAGTATATAGGTTAAGCTAATTGAAGATAGTGCTCTAAATTCTGGATATAGGTATTGCAATAGGTATGATCTCTGTTAGGGATCCAGTGATAGGTTGCTGGTTAATACCATTCTGCGTAGGTAGTAGGTACTCTATGTAGTGAATCTCATAACGCGCTCTACGAAGGCTTTGACACCTATGCATGCCAGAAATTCCGAAGACAATGTCCGAGACCCGTTTCGGGGCCGGTACATAGCGCGCTACTGGGTTTAGGAGTGAGACTACAGCACTCCAGGATCTGCCTGCACGACAGAAACGCAAGATTCGATATACGCAATCGGGTCTTGAGTATTCGTGCTCTATCGCCTCAAAGCCGATATGAATTCTTTTTAGGAGGGACGGGCAGAATCAGTCAATGGCGGACAGGAGGAATTATTTATTACTTGCAGTGAGTGACAGGAGATGTAATGTTTCAAGGTTCCGGTGGACTGGGACGACGTCGTCGGTCTGTGCGGTGGACAATAGGTATGTTTGTCTGGCCGCGTGGCTCAGGAGGCACCAACCGGGTTACACGAGCCTGCAAGTATGAGAATTCGGGAAGGAGCCAAGGCACCTCTACAGCAGCTTCGTGCAGGTAGCTAGTGTAGCAGTGTGTGCTGCCCCATGCTTGCCATGCACATAGCGGGCTTTCTTTTCTGGTTTCCGACTTCCCTCATCTCACAGGAGATATCACTTTGTGGTAGTGTGTCTGACAGAAGCTGACCACCAATTACAAGCATTCCGTAGACCACACACTGGCATCCCCATACCCGCTGCTGCTCAAATCACATAACCTCTCCACACATCGAAATCCAGTCAATTAGCCCTCCCCCGGAGCCATACATTTGCATACTCACTTACTCACATACTTACGTTCACATTCACGTTCAGCTCTTGTTTTCAGAAACACAGTTCCTAACACACGTACATACATACACACACGGTACATGCTTCTCACGTAGTTATTTCCCCTCTATCACGCACGCCCATCGTACATACATACACCACATCACCCATCCGCATGGTAGTAGAGATTGCTGCCGTTGTTATTACTCCCTAGAAGCCGGTCTTTTCGAGGTCCTGCTACACCAAGTTACTCAGCAGCCAACAGCAGCGGCCCCCCCTCCCCCCAAGACGGTTCTCAGCCCTCGCAGTCTTGTCTTTCCACCCCTCATCCTTGATTCGAGTTTTTTTCCCTCAGCTTCTCCGTCCTTTCTACGTTTTTCTCAGCGCAAAAAACAATGTTGCATTCCTCCAACACCGGTTAACATCCCACTATCGTTTTTTTTAGGCTCTATACCTATTTCCTCTCTTTTTTCTTTTTCAGCGAGCGAGCAGTTTTCTTCCAGTACATATTCCGCACACCAGATACCAGGCTTTGCGTTGACCTTGCCACGCGATTCTGCATAAATCATAAATTATGTTCAAACGGAATAATGGTAGACGCAGTGAAACGGACCTCCGACTGCGACGGAGCTTGGAGCAATCGAGAAATCTAGAGGCTACAAGAGGTCTTGCATTCGCCCGCTCAAGTGAGCAGATCTCTCGGAGACCATCTTCACCAACTCCAGATATACCACAGATTACCACTTCATACACAGAAAGCCATGCTGCAAAACCAAATCCTCGCTTTAGTCTAATGCGGTTCCGGCATGCCTCGGACTCGGCGATAGGGCAGAAGGCTAGAGATTCAAATCCACCTCCCGTCCCAACCACACCCGATGCTCTAACACTTACCCCTTCGATCATTACTACAGCTCCCACGAACGATTTTGCCCCCCCGAGAAGACAAAGCACGATGAGGCTGTGGCGGCAAAAAACTTTGGATAGCAAGCCTTCCAGCAGTCCGGCTGCCCTATCATCCGAAGAGTCATCGCAACGAAGCTCATTCTCGAAAAACAGACGGCGGGATGGAAGCACGTCACGGACAAATTCCAGCATGCGAACTAGTCGAGTCACGTTCGATGAACCGGAACGTCCACGAACCAACCCTACAGGGTCTACAATACACGAGCCACCAGCTTATGACGACCAGATGTCATCTTTACCATTGCCCCCGCCTCGCTTATCAGAGTCTTCCCGCTCAACTGCCAGCTCCACGGATCACTACATCACAACTACTACTACGCAGACCACCACCACCACAACCACGTTCTTTAGGCTTCCCCGCCGTAAAAAGAAGGAGACTAGTTTATTCCCACTCCCATCAAAGGTAGGACATGGGGGCCCGAGACCATCAGTATCTGATACAGATCTTACTCCTATGGGACGTCCAGTGTCCATGATGTCAAATAGCCATCCCTCTCCTACGAGGAGCGGCTCACGCGACCATCAATTCGCATCTCATATGCTGGCAGCATCTGGCCTCAATTTTGCAGGTCCCGGCGGACCGCGTGTCCTACGCTCAAATTCGACTGCTTCGACCCGCTCAGTTCAATCGAGCCCCACGTCGCTCACACCGACAAAGATCACCAAACGTGACCGCAGTTCAACAATGTCATCGTTGGATCGAGTAGAGGGGCGTGGGAGCATTGGGAGGAAAAGCTTCAGTGGAATGTTTGGGCGGATACGAAGGGATAGCGAACCAATATTTGGGAATGCAATCAGCAGGAATGTGTCACCTCAACCATACAGCTCTGGTCCAACATCGTTGGCCGTTTCGCAGGAAATTGTTACTATTCCGGAGAGGAATGACGAGGATACTCCGCAGATGTATCTTTCTAAGCTATTTGAAGCGCTTAGTAAGAGTGTGGTAGCGTCTTTGCTTGCAAGGAATGGTGATGTGTTTCATTCCGCAGTGTTAAAAAGTTACATGGGAACATTTGATTTTTCATCTACCCCTATGGATATGGCGTTGAGGTAAGCTAGAAGTATGAAATCGAAGGAAACATGAGCTGATTGAAGACAGGAAATTACTCATGGAAGTTGAACTTCCCTCAGAAACCCAACAAATAGATCGTGTTCTTCAAGCTTTTGCGGATAGATATCATGAATGCAACCCTTTTATATATCAAGATTCTGGTGAGACTTAGAAGCCAATCCCCCCCCTGCAACCTTTTATACGTCAAACTGGGTTCTCACAATATATAGACCAAGCGTATTATGTTGCGTTCTCGTTGATAATGTTGCACACCGATTTCTTCAACAAAAATAACAAACGAAAAATGCAGAAGCAAGATTACATCAAGAACACCTCTCAGGCAATATCAAATGAGGGCATCTCTAGTGACATTCTAGAATGTTTTTATCACAACATCACTTATACACCATTTATCAGAATGGAGGATGAGTTTGATATCAACGGGGAGAAAATTGTGCCACATAGACCAAAGCGGGGGATATTCAACAGGGGAAATCAGGATGGAAAGCGACTCAAGGAACCTGTCGATCCTTACACTTTAATTATTGACAATCAACTGGATATTCTGCGACCGAGTCTGAAAGATGTAGTGCAGATTGAAGATCCGTATAGTTACACTGGGACAGCATCGCGCCTGGAGATGAGTTCCTTACACAGGGCATTCTTTCGCTCGGGGGTTCTACAGATCATGTCTGTACGCTCAAGGCCCGATGCATTCTTATCGCCATCAACTACAGAGAACCCGGAAGGTGCTGATCCTGGAGTAGTGGAAATCAAAGTGACGAAGGTTGGAGTTTTGTGGAGGAAAGAGATGAAAAAGAAGAAAACAAGGAGTCCATGGCATGAGTGGGGTGTTATTCTGACAGGCTCACAGCTTTACTTTTTCCGGAATGTTAGTTGGGTCAAGAATTTAATGACACAATATGAATCGCACCATAAGCACAACACTGGGACCCCGGTAATTTTCAAGCCACCACTTGAACAGTTTAAACCTGATGCGCAGATATCAACGGATGATGCAGTGGCTTTGTTGGATAAAACTTACAAAAAACATAAGCACGCATTTGCTTTTATTAGGCATGGTGGTATGCAGGAGTATTTTATTGCGGATTCTGAGGCAGAGATGAATGATTGGTTGGCAAAGCTGAATTATGCAGCGACGTTCCGAACGGCAGGAATCAGGATGAGGGGCGTCATTGGTGGAAATTACGAGGGGCAGAGGACAAGAGCGATTAGGAGGGCTGATGGGGTTCCTGATACGCCAACATCCACGCATTTTGTTCAAACACCCTCTGGAGAAGTTTCTATTCTCAGAGGAGGGATAGACACCAAGCTGGCGGCGGAAATCTCAGCTGCCCGACGAGAGGTAATTGAGCATAAGATCACTGATTCAGAGGAAAAATTGGCGACTACAAACCGTCAGTTACAAACACTCCTAAGAAACGCTAGGCATCTCTCTATCCTCACCCCGATTCAGCCAAAAACAAGAGAGCAAGCAGTATTAGCTGCAGGATCGTTGGCCGCAAAGTTGCAATGGGTTAGAATGGAAATGTGGAAGTTAAGGTGTCATCGTGATATTCTGGCAATGGATATGGACGAGGAGCGGAAATCGGCGAAAGAACAGAAGAAAAGGAATCTTGAGATTAATACGCCCAGTGCCAGTGCTCAGAACTCACCTGCCGGATCAATACGCGAAGCTACACCGCCAACTTCTGGTGCGCCAACCCCTACTCAAGCAATGTTTACACCACCCAAAGCCGCGGCTTCAATTGGGGAGGACATTACTCATGTTATCTCCAACACATCTAGCACTAAAAATACATCTACAGCGTGGGAATTTCCCCGGAGAGACCCTGAACAGAATGAAAGAACGTCATTCTCTTCGAACTTACCTCGCACACCGTCGGTCTCATCGCTAGGAAACTCGAGGGCGGATATTGCGACCACTAGTAATGATCATGCTAGCATCGATACTGGACGTAGCTATCGTTCACCTTCGGTATCCAGCTTTGGCGGGGATGCAGATGCAGACAAAGATGAGGAGAAAGATGAGAAGAAAAAGAAGGAGAAGAGCAAAGGAAAAGACAAGGAGTCAGGCAGACCAAAGATCCGGAAAAGTCTCCACAGAACTCTCAGAGAAACCCAAGGTCTTGGACATCGTAGAGGTAAATCAAAGGATGTCTCTAGTGAGGATGGTAATCAGTCCGGAGAGAAGTATCCCGGTGACACCGAAGGGCTGGCTCGTGGATCTGGAAGTTTTACAGTTCACGGTATGTAGAAATTTATCCCGAGACATATCTTTTATAATTTATGGTAACTCACCTCGTTCATTTTGAACTATAGGGAAGAAAGCTAGCGTTATTACTTTCGGTTCGGAATGGCAGAATATGACTGCAGAGGATAGACTGAGAAGAAAAATACCTGGGACAGAATCAGATACAGAATCCGGGCTAGTACCTAACACGGGCTTTATTAGCCGAAGAAGTTCGCAACAAGTCCAGCCTACTACAGCTCTGAGAGAAGATGGAGAGGATACTTTGATACCGCAACTGCCCGCAACTTTGCCAGCAAGTAGGCGTGGTTCTCACATTGGTCATATAATGCCAATGAAAGGGGAGGATGATCTTCCAGATATGCCAGATGACCTGAGTGCACCTGGTGCAAAGGAGAAGTTGATTGCAGCGCTGAACGGGGTGAAAGCTAGTGAGAATGCACCTGTGGCATCAGAGACAGACACCCCTGGTGCCTCTACAGAGTAACAAAATTATTAGTGGCGGAGTGGGGGGGAGCTGCCTTTATTTGCGTATATCCATTCATCTTTAAAAATTCTATCTTATTATCATTACGCTGTGGGACGCATTCACTTGATTTGCTTTCGTTTGTTATTTTCTTGGAGTTTATTATTTCTTATTCCCTTACTAGAGGCGAACTAGGTTTCTTCTTTTCTTTATATCTATTTATGGTTTGTAAGCAATTGGTTTGGTTTTTTCAGCGGGTTTTGTTTATGTTGCGTTGCTAGTTTGGGGATCTTTTTTTTTATTTTTTTTATCATTATCCTTTTCGTGTTTTATATCGTCTATTTACTTGCCTCTCAGCAATTGCGAAAGGGGGCTGTGTTTCATATGTTTCTGTCTTGTAATCATTCATTATTTTGGGATCAATCCAATTTTTTCTTTCCTTCGTCTGGAGAAGTTAGTAGGGCGGAGGCTTTGTTTTTTTATCTTGCATTCTCTGTATGTTAGATTGGAGGAAACGGGAAAGAAATGGGAAGAATGGGAGGCAGGGCTCTTCTGAGTATGAAGCGCATCATAGATCAAAACTACTTGTGGCATCAAGCATACCTTCTGATACTTCACGTGTTTTGCGTGTTAGAGGATAAATAAGGATGGGTGTATGTATTGAGCAGAGTAAATATTTTACCAAAAATAAAAAGTGTGTACAGATATTGCCATCCCTGTGACCAACCTACCGCTTACATTTTGGGTAAACCTGTGAACCGAATGCGCCGAAAGCGAAGTATAGTAATAATACAAGTACAGAAACCGTCATCCCATCTACCTCTCATAGCCCCATAGCCTATTCGTTATATCCTCGTTTAAGCTCCGGCCTCCGCGTAGGCACATTGCGAGTGAGTATTCGGATGTCTTAGTAATATTAATGAGTACCATATGCAGACACAAAACATAGAGGCGGTCGCTCCCACACGCAGCTTTCGTGCTGCGCTCAGTGATTGCGAAAATTCTTCTTTTGGTCTATGTCATGGATCCGCCGTCAATACAATGTAATATCTCAACATAAAGGGGAAGAAGGTGAGAGCCTTACAAAATAGATCTGTCCTCGATGAACCCAAGTTGATAATCTTAGGGCACCCGTCACGATCCTTCTCGAGTCGCGTGCACTCAAAGCAGTAGAAAGCATCCGAGATACCCTCTCCTCCGCAGACAACACATTTATTCTGGTAGTTTCCGAATGAACACTCGTCGCATATCCGAACGAGGGTTGTGGGCCTGACGTAGGAATCGCAGACCGGGCATTTGCCGTCGCATTTGTCGCAGAGGCGGCCGATGGCTATGCCGGATTGCTTGCGGCACATTACTAAGTCGCTGTTTTCCTTCAGTTAGTTTTCTGTGAATCGGAAATAAATAAAAAGGAGTGACTTACGGATGATGACGCGACATGACTGGCTGGAGGGTATCTTAGGGAGGATCGTAGGTTGAGGTTGAGGTTCGGAGGAGCTTAAATATGAACTAGTTAGCTTGGTTGTTATTTGAGGTGACAGCTTTTATCAGATCCTCCTGTTACTAAGCAACCACAGAGATGTCACATAGTGTGGCTTTGCCGGGCCAGGGTTTGATTCCCCGAGACTAGTATGATACTACAGCTGTTTGATTGCTTTTCCTTCTGCTGTTGCTGTTCAGCGCTGATACCTCTCCACCCCACCTCGACCTCCACCGCTACCTTAATAGCGCGATATCGGTCATGTCGGAAGAAGAACAAGTGTAAGATTAATTCCCCATATATTTCGCGCACCCGTTATTCGATTCCCCCCTAGACTTTCAGAGTCTTTAAGAAAGCAATGCTAAAATATAACTCTACAGAACTATTGTCGCATCGGCGGTCGTTGTTCCCCACAACGATGATATGGACAGATCACCTCCCCCAAAACTCCTTGCCAAACGCAGGCAATCCACCGCGTCCCCAGAGTCCTCCAAAAGGGCACGTTTTAACCACAAAGACCACAGCAGTAACGGAAGGGAGTTACACTACCCCTCAGTGGATGACGGTGAAGATGTGGCGGAGAGAGGGGGGAGGAATAGCAGATTAAAAGCTGAAGAATCAGAAGATGAGAGCTCACGGCCCAGCAGACGACCATCAGCCGGAAAGGCTGCAGCCGGGAACGAGGAGGAGCGCCGACGTGGGAAACGGCTTTTCGGAGCCCTCCTAGGGACCATTGGCAAGTTCAAGCAGGATTCCTCATCGGCTAGAGCCCGTAACAGCGCGGTGAAGCGTCGCGAGGTTGAAGCGAAACTGCAGGAGAAACTGAAGCAGCAAACCAACGAGATTGACGAGCGCCGGAAGAAAGAGGACCAGAATGTCAATCTACGCAGGCGCATGGAACAGAGGGGGTTTGACGAACGTGCTGTGAGTACCTTTCTTTCAATTCTAAATTCCATGGTTCAGGAAGACAGGAGGCTGATTTCTGAACAGATGCAAATACGTCACAACAATGAACTTGCCCAGGCCCACATTCTACAAACAAGCGCGCAACCAAAACTAGTATGTTACATGGAGCTTCTGTAGAGGAGCGAGAAATATGTGAATTCTGAAAAGATTGAGACTGATGGAATATCTAGTTCTACCTTCCATGGAAATTGCTACCCGAAGAAGAGGAACGTATCAAAGTCCAGATAGAAGAGGCAGAAGACTCGATTGCACAAGAGCAGCGTAAATTCCAGCTGCGTCGCGAGCGAGAGGAGGAGGAAGAGCAACTTAATGGCGGGGCTAATAACCTTAACGAGCCCGGCTTAGCCATTGACCCCCACCATGAAGATGATGATTCACCAATGATAGACGATAATGATCATGCAACGGAAGTAAATATCAGGCGTCACGATGATGGCGATCATACTAACCTTGACCATGCGCCTGTACACGATGAGATTGACAACACTAGAAGACAATCCGATATCGGGGATGTGGGGGAAATCGTCGAAGCTGGGGAGGACACGGTGATATATTAAAACTCTCACCAATGGTCATCATTAATATTCACTTTACGTGATTCATTGATAATTATTGTCATCACTGGGTTTCTTCTACCTGCTGGCACTTCTTGAATGGAATTTTCTTTTCTCTTTTCTTTAACAACCACTACTACTTATACTTACCACTGGGTTCTAAAAGAGTGGTATTTCTCCATTCATTTGTCTGGTTACATAAACCCTTTTAATTGGCCACTTAGTGGCGAAGTGAAGGTGTGAATAGCGTGGTTTTGTTTAGCGTTCGGGGGTCTAGCATGGAAACAATACCTCTAAAAAAGGTAAACCCCGGAGAGGTGAGCGGATTTTCAAATATTGTTTTTCCCAGCACTCTTCCGGTTTGTTCTCTTTTGAATGTACGCGAGTAGAGTATGGCTGTAACTATGTATGGTAGTCGGTCAGTTTGAGGGGTACTCTACTGCATGTATTTGTGTAGCTACATATTTAAAGTAGGTACCTACTTCTTGGATGAACGACTTATTATTAGTGGATGTTCTCCCACTGTCAAAGAAACCCTGTTCCTGGTTGGTTGGCCGACCTGTGGGTACTACTAGTATGAAAATCACTTACTTAGTAATACTGTTTCTAAATCAACGGCTACTAAATGGATATATCTACTACATAAGTGGTTACATAGTGTGACCTACAGAGGGCAAGAGACCGAGGAAGTTCGTATTCTTCCACGCGCCGAGCCAAGTGGTGACTTGTATTATATTCGTAATCCCTTATATTATACCCAATTACGAAATTCATCTACGCCGAGGTGCAGAAATTGGGACGGGGATGGATGAATAGACCCCCGACCCGAAAGTGGCTAGTTTTAGTTATCAATTATCACGGCGCCTCGGTCAATAATCAATTGACTAATATGTAGCTGCCGCCAGGAATGTACTTGCTAAAGCGGCGTTTTTCGAGGATCCCTGAGGAGGAGGGGTTATAAATACCTAAAGCCGTTCGTTGAGAAAAGAGTAAGACTCGAACTTCAGAGCTAATACAATTACATACTTTCATCATGCGTTTGAACCCAATCGACCCATACGACGACCCCCGTGTCACTCATGAGTTTGCAACATTGAATGGGAGGAATTACCGTAAGTCGCTCGCATGATAACAGTATGATTGAGCCTTCGAGGCTGATATGATGGACATTTAGACTACGTTCAAGGACTTCCACAAGGCACCCCGAAGGGGACTATTGTCTGTGTAAGTACTCAGTACAGTTAACTGTTGGTAGAATAAAGGTCCGGACTATATACGTATATACTAATAGCTTCTTGAATAGATCCATGGCTTTCCCGATTTCTGGTGTTCGTCCCCAATCCTATTATCCACCCAGACTGTAAGTAGAAAATCAGGAATTAATCAAGGGACGTATAGATGGCTGGAAGAATATTATTCCCTACCTACTGCAAAAAGGCTTCCGCGTCGTGGTCCCCGACATGATTGGTTATGGAAAAACAGACATGCCCCGAGTGCCACCCTCTTCCATCTCGGCATACAGCTGGAAATCTACAGCCTCGGACATGTACGCTCTCACCGAGCACCTCAAACTTTCAAACGTGATTCTTCTCGGTCATGACTGGGGTGCTTTCGTCTCCTACCGCATCCACCTCTACCACCCACAGAGGTTCACCCATATTATAACCGTTTGCGGCTTCTTCTTACCAATCATGCCGGTATTCTTCCCACTGGATGTTATGGTCCAGAAGTACCCGAGCCTTACGTATCAAATTGCGTTTTCGGACCCGCAGACGGACAAGGATTTGGAGAACGAAGATAATAGGAGGAAATTTATCAAGTTCTTGTACAGGAACAGTAAGGATGCGAAGCCGGTGGGGAAACTACAGGTCGAGAAGGATTTGATCAGCGGGATCGGGGAGGATAATACGTTAAGTGCATTGTTTACAGAGAAGGTATGTAAAATCTAGTGAGAGGGGAGGTAAGATAATCGGTACTGACGTTTGTGGGGGAATAGGATTTGGAAGTATATATGGATGCGTTCTCGAGGGGATTTCACGGTCCTTGTATAAGCCCCTCACTACCCATACTGGTCAGAAACGATCATGAACTAACCAGCGTATTCTCTAGTGAACTGGTACAAAATCCGCGAAGTTAACCACGAGGATGAGCAGAAGTACATCCATCCCATCTTTAATTCCCCGTTAATATTCGCTAATATTAATGCTATGTAGACTAGAGGTCACACGCATTGAATGTCCGACTCTTATTATCCGCGCCATGAAAGATATGGCAATTAGGCCGGAAATGATGGATGGTCAGGATAAACTCATCACCGACTTGACGGTTCGAGATGTGGAGGCATCGCACTGGGCGCTATTGGAAGCACCAGAAGAGCTATACAAGCATATTGATGAGTGGCTTAGCAATGTCGTTTTGGGGGGTAAATTGAAGTTGTAAGAAGACCTAGATTTATTATTACCTATGTACATCCTGGCATGCCAAAGGCATTGCTTGTAGCGAATTGAAGAACTAGGATCTTGCAGTACGTTGTGAGTCTAGGTGCATGTATCCAAAGGCTGGCCAGATGTAAACCTAACGGGCAGTAGTACATAGAATAATTACCTATCTTGGGCCCGGTCCCATCAACTTCTGGCGCTAGTACTCGAGTACTCATAAGTGGAGCACTAATGGAATTCTACTTAACGATAGTAAAATATGCCTAGGTAGAATGGCCCACGACTACCAAAAACCATATAAAATAGTAACTACATGTATCTATTTACATGTATGTATATGAGTATAACAATACTCGGTGCTTACTACATGTATGTATGCGGTTAGAACAAAGTGCTGGGCCGCTGCCGGAGAATGTTACATGTACTGTATAACCAGTATTTTTTTGGCGCTAGTATTAGAGCGTATTTGCCAACCGTCAATTTCAAGAATTTACAAATTGTGGGGCTCCGAAATGGCAACCGGGGCTGTTAATTTTGAATTTCGGTGGGGCGGCATGCTGTGAGATATACCAGGAGGATCACAAGTACCCAGTTTTGTTACTACCGAAGTTAGTATCATGGGTATGAATTTTCAGTTCCAACAGCGTACTTCATAGGTAGCGTGATGGGTTGTCTGGTTTTCGGGGTTTATTCTGTCATACCGTTAACCAGATCGATTTTGGCCACTGCGGGGAACTGTCAATTTTGCCTCCCGAAACTGTCAAGTTTGAAGTGTCAATAGTTGAAATTGACGGTTGGCAAATACGCTCTATTCCATTCATAATAACACTCATAAGTACATGTAGTTACATGTAGCTACTAGTAATAAGTACTTACTATATACCCATTTTACTGGACTGAAACCCACGCACTCCAATCCAGTAAGTAAATAACCTAACCCTAGATCAGTAGCGTTCCCATAATACATACATGAACCGCCCATGGTAACCAAAAGCAGCCAATAAATTTTGGCCTTGGCCTCAAAATTTATATGGTGGAAAAAAATACCGAGACGTTTTATCTATTTTCACTTAAAAATTCAAATATTTTCCTAAAAATACAAAAAAATAACCACTGAATAGCCCTTGCTCACAGGTTCACCTGAGTACTGATTCGAAGTTATCAAAGAAGTTTTGGTGAAGTTCGAAAAGAACAGGAGTAGAAAAGAGGTTGAGGAGGTTGCGTTGCAAAAGCTGCGGGGCAGACTGTCCAAATACCTGCTTGGCTGCCAAGTGTCATTTTAGTTATATCAGCCCAATCAGATTCCTTTACAAGCCCTCACTTTTTAAAATTCCCCAAAAAGGGGTTCTCAGTACTTACCCTCAACCCCCGGTACATACATGTACTCGTAGTTTTTTGACGTTTCCGGACGCGACCACTATTGCATGCCATACAAAAGATAGCCTTGGCGGCTTTTTTCTGTGTATGCAATAGCAGTTGCGTCCGGAAACGCTGTGAAATTGCGAGTATATAGAAAGCACCTATTTTACAAGGGTTCGAAAATACTCACCTTACCCCACGGGGAATTATATCCGCACATCACATCGCTTTAAACCTTGTGCTTCCCCACTTTTTTTCGTGAGATAAAAGGCACTGTAGATAGCTAGACCTACACACCCAGCTGCTTCACGAGATATCACTCACAACACAATGTCCAAACAAGAGGAGGTCATCGTCCTGGGCGCCGGCGTGGTAGGGCTCCAGACTGCGCTCACCCTCCTCGAGGCCGGCTTCGGCGTTACTGTTGTCGCAAAACATTGGCCCGGCGAGGACAGCATCGAGTATTGCTCCACAAAGTATGAACCCTCCATTTAATCTACAGCATACATATGTGTGGATAGAGGTGGGAGTGCTGACGTTCCATAGAGCCGGCGCAGTAAGTACCATATAGACATTCGGAAATGCATCATGGAGAGACACTGATGTCCTCAGCATTGGCGCTCCCACGCATCCCCCACCGACACCAGGCTCCAGGGCTTTGAAGCAGAGACCTACAAGTACTGGCAGACGCTGTGCCAGAATCCAGATGCCGGTCTCAGAGTACCCCCCCCCCCCCCCACCTTGCTACCGTCGAACACTTTACCTCTACCCCACTAACTCCCTCTCACAGCTAACCACCTCGCACCACCGCCTTACCACCACGCCCTGGTGGTCCACACTCGTGACCTCCTACACCCCGCACACATACGACTCCTTCTGCATCGACCCCAACACCTACCTCGACCACCTCTACGGCCGCCTCGGCGACCTCGGCGTCAAAACCCACACCGCAGAAGTCGACGCCATCAGCGAAGTGTTTGACCTCCCCTCGCTCGAGGAGGCAGTGGCGGTGATCAACTGCACCGGCCTGGCGGCCGGAGTGCTGTGCGCAGACGCAGACGTGTATCCGACAAAAGGACAGACGGTGCTCGTAAAGGACGAGGCGGCGGGGATAACGTTCACGGAAGGAGAGGGATGGACGGCATATGTGATACCGCGCCCAGGGAGCGGGACGAGCATTCTTGGGGGTAGTAAGGACGACGGGGATTGGAGTGTGGAGGTGGATGTGGGGTTGTCGGCGCGCATACGGGAGCGGTGTAGGGAGCTGGCGCCAGAGTTGTTGGAGGAGGGGGAATTTGTGGTGGTGAGTGAGCAGGTAGGGAGACGGCCAAGTAGAAAAGGAGGGGTTAGAGTGGAGGTGGAGTGGGTGAAGGTGGATGGAATGTGGAGAATTGTAGGCCATAACTACGGGCACGGCGGAACGGGTTACCAGGCTTCTGTGGGAACAGCTAGGGAGTTATGTAGGCTGCTAAAAGAGGCATTAGTGAGTGGACATCAGTAAAGAATGGGTCAATGATTGTAGGGACGAGCAGTAGGTCAATGATAATAATGCATGGGTTGATTGGTATTGAACATGTATGTAAAGTGCAAATAAAAACTCCTCTCATCCCTTTCCGGCCAACCCCATTCTAGCCCTAGTCCAGTATAATAGTATACCTCCCTTCTCTGCCCTTCTCTTATCTTTTATCTAAAACTCTTCCATCATTTTCGTCTCTACATGAAACCCGCACCTATCTAGCGCCATGAAGAACGCTGGACTTGCCGCCGCCGATGGTGTCAGTACACCACCCCCAGTTTTCTTTGCGAATGTCTCCTCGTCTGACAGCAAGCTCATTGCCGTTTGCACAAGTAGGATTCCTGTCGTGGTGTAGGTGTCTTTCTCGCACAATATTGAAATGGTAGCTTTTGCAGCCTCCTCATTATCGTCGTCCGCCTCAGCTATACCACGCCATTCAATGCGGTACTTGTTAGTCGACTCCAAGATCGGACCCTCGCCCAATGGGGGTGCATAGTAGCGGCGAATTATCCATCTGTTCTTATTAGCTCATACCTTCAAACTAATGTCAATGGTATTGCACTTACCTAACAGGCGTGACATAAGGCAAAATTTGGATCATGCTCATCCATATATACATCCACACCGCCATGAACATGGTCTCCACACTCCTATACTCCCTAAACATAAAATTCCTGCCATACCACTCCCCTCCTTGGTTTAGGCCCCAACTGCGCATCACGACCTTCTCGTCATGACTCGCCTGGACGTTCTTGGTTAGGATTCCAAGGTCTTCATGCTGCTGGATGGGCGGGATGAAGGGGAGATCGAGCCCCTTGATGGGGGAGAGAGAGTAAGTTCTGCGCGCGTGGAACATTTCCTGGAGTGTTGCGATCTCCCATACTGAGAGGAGTGTTTCGACTGTTCCCCCGGAGACACCTGAAACGTGATCGAGGAGTGTGAAAGTTATGTTATCGGTGGGGCAGGAGAGGCGATTACGGATCAATGTTACGAGGGAGTGGGCAGCAAGGTCGGCAGGCGCGGATTGCACGCCGCATTGCGGGATGATCTGAATGGTTGTTAGTGATGTTTATATTAGGGGTAATGATAGAGGTGCGGCTAATGAAGACTGGAGTAGCAATGATTCAAATGACAGGAAAGGGGGCAGATAACAGGAACATACCACGGCACCATTAACTGTCGCTGTCTTGTGATACTTTTTGATCATCTCCCTCACCCATGTCGTCTCTACCGTCGCATCTACATAATGAGTTCCGTTTAACGCACACGCTTCCAGCACCGGTGTCCCATACTTCAGGTATGGGCCCACAGTAGTTATGAGCACTCTCGTTACCCGAGCCATGGTCTCCAATGTATCTTCATTTTCCACATTCGCGATAAAGATCCCTATCCCCACGCAGTACTGCCATCAGAATACAACTCAAAACCTGCCTTGGGAGCTAGAAAGGGGGCAGCGTACCAACGGGAACACGATCGGGAAAGCGCTTGTTATATTCCAGCGCAAGAAGCTCAAGCTTATTGGGGGAGCGACCGGCAATGGCCCATTTCAGAGTTGAGGGTGTGTTGGCGAGGACTTGTTCGCAGGTCAGACGGCCTGTGTATCCGGACGCACCGAAGACGACGAGGTCGTATTTTCGGCCTTCTTTGGGAGGAGGGGGCGGGGGAGTAACAAGTCCTTCGATATCCATGGCTATCTGCAGTTAACCGTCGAGTTGGGAGCAAAGTATGGAAGGGACGCGACAGCAGCTGGAGGAACGTAGTGGATGATCTCGAGCTTTATAAGGATTGTGGTGAAGATAAGAGGTGTTACTTGGACAGACACAGCCCCTGGAGATGCGATGCGGGAGAGAGCTATCCCGGGATTCTAATTGGGTTTCTAGCCTTTGTCGAGTCTGTTTGGCTGGATGGCTTTTGTATCCTCTATCTTCTTGAGTTATGTATACATGTAGAGGAGGTGCTATCTAGATATTTCAGGGTTTAATTGCAGAGCATTCTAGAATAATACCCCTTGCATACCCTGCCGTATCCGTTTGATCCCGCCCAGAGGTCTCTCTCTACATAAGGAGGATAGATACCTGCCAGAGTATGACATCTACAACCTCGAGATTCTATTCCGGGAATATCCCTGAGAGCCTCACTCTTGGCACCCATAAAAATTTCCCGTCATGGACCGACCCACCAGCGCCAGCGACAGTGGCATTCACCACCACCACAAAAAACACTCGTAACTACCACTCCCCCAGACCCAATGGCCCCTCTTACCCGTGCACACCGCGCCAAAGCGTCCCGCAATGGCGAGCCTATCGAACCTCTCTCACCAGCCCTCCCTCTAACGTCCACACCTACGCCCCGCCGAAATCACACCCGCTTCGATGAGGACGATACCCCCACCGCCGCCGCCGCCACCACCACCAGCAAACCCGAGGAAATCGCGAACCTCCAAAGCTCTGCGGAACCAGATTCTAGGGAGATTGCAGACTCCCAAGAGAACTCGGACGCTTCGGAGTCGGATGACGAAGCGCCCGAAGAGACTTCGCTAGGTGCCGGGAAAGAGGAAGCTCTTAAGCGGGACGAAGAGGCGCGCAAGGCAGCAGAAGCGTATATGCCCCTCCCTATCATTCTAGAGCCAATGCGAATTAAACTGGTAGCTAACTTGCAATTGACACTATAGGCAGAAAGACGCCGCGCGCAAGAAGCGAAAAGAGCGCGACACCCAATTGAAGACCCAGAAAGCCGGCGCTGACGCCCGGAAGCGTCAACGTCTCGACGAAGCCGCATCTCAGCTCACTCTCGAGGCATCAAACGCTACCGTCGAGGCCGAAGCCGAATCAGAAACAAGAAACGAAGCTGCAAGCGAAGATAAAGAACAAACCCCAGAGGATACCTCCGCCCTTGCCCCAATCGAAAAAACCAAACTTCCCAAGCTCCTCCCAGAATCGCTTCTTGCGGCCGTTGCATCGCGCCCAGAAGACTCCGATTCAGAAGATTCCGAAGATGAAACCCCGGCGCCGGCAGGCCAACCGTCAAAACATCTTGAAAAGAATCGGCGCAGACGGGAACAAAAGCGCCGGAACAAGGTTCTTAAGAAAGGGGTTGTGAGTGTGAAGGTCCTCTGCGATGACGCTGCGACGCGGAAGAATCTGGCACCGCCGGTTGTAAGGAACGTAGGGAATATAAAGGAGGCCTGGCTTTATAATCGCCGCGGAGGTGTAGAGAGGAGAGCTGTGGGCAGAGGATTTGTTAGAAATTGAGATAATGGTTGAGGAAGTAATAAATTTGCCTTGATTAGACCTAGATATAAAAGAAACATGCGGATTCATGAAATATCACTCGTGGCCAAATGGATGGCTTGGCATGCTTTTAATATTGAACACTATCAAATCCAACAAATTTAAGATTCCTGGGGGGTTTGCTAAATTTTATTATACGCATGTATAACCTTATCTTAACTGATACTCTCGATGGTTTCTAGTACTAAGACGTTCCAGAACATCCTTAAATAGTGCAAATAGTTATTGTTTATAGTACGTATATATCCTATAATGACCCCCAAAAAATCTCCGGGCACATCATTATATGCAACTTGAAGGCCAAACAAAAAAGACAGAAGAAAATAAAGAGAAAGTACCCCTCCCACTTCTAGGTCGTTACTCTTGTACCTAAAATTCCCACCCCTTCACCCAACTCGAAGCACGCCCTAATATCAAAATGTCAGCCTTATCGAACGGCTCTTTAGAAGCTTTCTCAAGCACTTACGCAGTAACAACGTTCGTCTGTCACTGCTTTATGGCTATGATTCTTTTACTCTTCTTGAGAAACACCCCCACCCCCCTCATTTTCGTCAGTCTCTACCACTGCAGTGCCGGTTACCATATATTTCTCGAGTAATTGGACTATTTTCTCATGCCCTTGATCTTTTGCTAAAACCATGGCTGTCCGTCCGACATAGTTCACGGCTTCAATATCAGCGCCCATTTCGAGGAGTAGCTTGACTAGTGGCTCATGCCCCGAGCCAGCTGCAAAATGCAGTGCTGTCCATTGGTCATTGTCCACGGCTTCGATATCAGCGCCCATTTCGAGGAGTAGCTTGACCGTTAACTCATGTCCATTGTAAGCTGCAAAATGCAGTGCTGTCAATTCGCCATCGCCCCCGGCTTTGACGTCGGCGCCCGTTTCGAGGAGTAGCTTGACTATTGACTCATGTCCCCTTTCAGCTACAAGATGCAGTGCTGTATATCTTCTAACGTCTACGGCTGTGATATCGGCGCCCATTTCGAGGAGAGATTTTGTTACTCTCATGTGTTTTAACCGGCAGCAAAGTGTAATGGAGTAGCCAGTTCACAATAGGGATCATCTAACAATAAATGACCTTCTACATAAACCAAAAACACTTGGGGATTTTCAAGAAATTGAAGGACCAGTTGTGTTGTTAAGGTTTCATCGCATTCTCCGAGATGGATAGTCAGGTACACAACGACGTATTTGAGGAAAGTATGAAGGTATGACCGATATTCGTCAGATTTGTCAGGTTCGTCGGATCCGTTAGATCCGTCGGGTCCGTTAGATTCATCGGATTTGTGGGGAGTACAGGCGCCTTGGGTGAAGTGATCATAAGAGATAAAAGTGATACACGCTGTGGCTATCTGCATGTCTCCATCGTTCGGTGTTATCGATTTTCTGAGCAAATACTCTTGGATCGTATAATGAGCTAATCTGACAGTATCCTTGAGATCATTTTCTTCCTCGTTATTCTCTTGATCTATTGTCATGAGGCCGGCGCAAACATCAAGTAGTGTATTTCTGTCTGCTAAAGCGGTCTTCTCAAAAGTGGGGCAGTCGTTTTCAATGGAGACTGTTACTTGAAGCTCGCGAACCGTGAGTACACGTCGGGCATTGGCCAGCCAGAATAGTATCTTCAAGGCTAGCTCAGTGCAATTTCCTTCTTGCAATCTAATACTCTCCATGACTCTGTCATATGTAGGATCCATAGTAGGTTCGTCCTTGCTGGAAGAATCGTTGAGCTTTTTGAGGGCTGCAAGCAGCTGTTTGACATTGACCTGTTAAAGATATTTCACATGGAAAGAAACCATTAAGAACCTACAAACAGGTCATTAGGATGCCTCTGTTATATCTTACTATATGCACACTTACATCCCATTGGCGCACTCTTTCAGCTGAGACACTATCTCATTTGACATTTTGCACTCTCAACAAGCCGATGTGCACGCGAATGCTCAGCTATCTTCTGTTCTATGTAGAACTTGATATCCTCGTTCTTGGCCCAGAGCCTAATCTTTGACGAGTTTTTGAAAGAGGTTTGAATATCGTCAGGAAATTCGCGACTCGTTATGAATAAATTCATGCCATCGTTTGTCATTCGGTGGAACAATGGCAAGAGGATTTTTCGTTGGGTATCCTGTTTGCATTCATCCAGAGCATCACAAACAAGAAAGACATTGCCCGGGGCAAATGCTTTTGCAATTATGAGGAATATGTTATAACGTTCCTCCAAACTGGGGTTTTTTTGCTTATCGATTATATTTTTGTATGGCTTGTTGATCTCCGTGGGTAATTCTTGTAGCTGGCACGCAAGTTGTTTCGTCAAGCTGGCAAGAACTGATAATGGGTTTTGCTGTGCTTGCTCGCTATAATTGAAGTAGATATAGGCTACGCCGCACTTCGATGATGTCGATGCTCGGTTTTTAAGATGGTCGATCATGAATGAGCTATATATGGATCAGAACGAGTACATATATATAATCAAGTCTACTTTAGAAATCATAAGATTAGTTTGAAAGGTATCTACCTCAAAAAGGTCTTTCCCGCTCCAGCTAAAAGTGTGTTCCGGGTGAGCAATATCCGTATAACACGGCAGAGGACGTATACACATACGTATACCGTAACCCCAAAGTAGTCGAGATTTCGATTTCCCGTTCTCCCAGTCTTGGACTTCTGGCTCTTTCAATATCCATTCCCCAGTGTTCGGTTGTCTTCTTCCACTAATCTCGGTATGGCGCTTGTCAAATGCTTCCGAGTACAGCCAATTGATTATTACTTCCCTATTGGGTTTGTCTAAAATAGGGCTTCGTTAGATGGGTAACCCATGATTTGAAGGATATGTATTCATACTTGTACGTGCACATAGTAGAGCTTGCTATAAAGGTACGTACGCTTGGGGCGCCAAGGGAAAGGAGCTAAAAGTGCGCACTACCCTTATAGAGATCGCCCTTAGAGAAGGTACCATCATAGCAAGCTTTCACTGTATATACATACATTATATCTACAGCCACGTACGTACCACATTGGATGATCTGGTCTTCGGTATTCTTAGACCCATGTGAACCCTGAGCTGCTTGCACGAGATGTTGTACGTTATTTTCGATCTTTTTTAGTTGAGACCTTACATGGGTTAGGCTAGAACTTGAAATTCGGTGAAAGTAAGAGAAGATCTAATTAAGATAACCCACTGCTGTAATTCACCCGTAGCAAGATCGAAGAGAGATTTCAATCTTTCGATCCGCTCAATAAACTCCAAAGTTTCCTTTTCTTTAAAAGGCCACTGACACCAGAGAAGCTGCACGCCCCATTTTTTCTTCTTAGGTACCAACCCGAGCTTGATCCTGGCCATATCGGTTCTGCATTTCTCGAGTGGTGCAGTTAAACACCAAGACTCTGCTATTCCGGGATTCTCCTCCGCAAACGTTCGCAGTTTTAAAAGAATAGACTTCAAGGACTTGAGTTCTCTTTCGAAATCCTTGAGACTTTTTGAGGCCCCTTTGACCTCATTAATATATCTGTAGCTCGAGAAAGCTACCTCTCCCACAAGATGAACGACAGCGATGATGTTTACTGCAAGGCTCAAACCGTCAGCCATTATATCTTGGAAGCTTTAGTCCAAGAAGCAAGGGTGGGCGCGCATATCAAATTGTAGTGACTATATGTAGGTATCAGTCATCGAATTTGCGGTTGAGTTGAATAGAGCAGTGAGGTTAACCTAAAGGAACGACGCGGGATTGCTGAATCGTTCTTGTGTAACAAGCTTATGCAGGCAGTAGGTATACCTGGCCTAGCCCAAGCCTCCCCTACCGAGCCGGACTTGGACGTAGTAGAGCCTCCGGTAGAATTATTGCGGAAATGTGGCGTTGGAGAATCGCTCTGTTCTCGGCGTGATCGTTGTCCCTGTTTTCCACAATAATTCTACCGGAGGCTGTAGTCAATAATGGGCCGGGCTTGATCCTGACAGAAATGAGGCTCGGGCTTTTATGCGGGCCGAAATAGATGTGTATCCCCGCATATCGCGGATCGGAGCCCGGTTTATCTATATCAAAAAAATATCATACACTCTAGCACCGATGAATAGCAAAATACCAGTTTCCTCGGACCGTACTCGAGTACTATAAATCAACATAAAAGCCCGGGCTCAAGACCGTATTAATGGGCCAGGCCGGTCTCGGGTTGTGCTTGGTGGGCCGGTCTGAGCCAGTCCAGGTTGCTTTTATACTCAGGCCGGCCTATCAAGACCTCTGGAACTTGTGTTCGGAAACGTTACTCTAGAGATCAGTCAGACATATATATATGCATCGTTTTATTGGTTTTGGTCGACCACGACTGGCGTATCTGAATATTAATCCTTAAGCGTAAACTACGTGTAGTCAATGTACTCTATACGTAACAACGATAAGAAATTCTATAAGAACTTCCGGGTATATAACATCGGGGCATGGACTTGCTCGGGGAACACCTTAAAATGCTGTAATGGTCAAAGGCTCTGTAAATCGTAAATACTCCGTTTTTGATCAAACCTTTTCAAATTTGGGAATTCGACAGTCACAAATGCCGGTGTATCGTTGAGATAACGGGGTCCGGATCCCCCCCCCCCCCCCCCCAAAGAACTCTGTACGTGTTATCTCGAAAACTATGTAGATTTGATCTGCTTTCGTTTAATTTTCCTAGCCTATATATGTACTACCTCGAATATGTATCTTAATTGAGAAATAATTACATATGTAGGACATCGTCCTTAACAGGAAAAGTCAAGATTGAGACTCGAGTTATAGGAGGAGGAGGAGGAGGAGATGAGAAGGAGGCACAAAGGAACCAGACAGATGTCAGGCAGCTGCAGCTGATCTTAGAAAATAGTAGGGTTTACGGTCATGGGTTGGTACAGTACTCTGTATGAGATATTACCCTCTGGACTGGAATTTTGTGTTCTTATGGAGAGTTATGGATAGAAGGTTCAGGATTAAGTGTTAAAAAAAGTTGACGAGACCGGGCGATCTTATCCTTTAGGATATACATCATGTGTGTACATATCTTTATCAACAATATCCTTATAGTGAGAGACTGTTGTACTCTAGATGGGATTATCACAGTTACAGCAGGAAAAGCAGGCCCAAGTTACTCATTTGAAAACCGTGTTTTCATGCTTTTCTGGACTCTCAAATGGCCTGCCAGATATAACTCATTTTCTTAAAACTGAGTAGTATACAGAGCAAAGTTTAAGCCACCATACCCCTATTTCAAACAGCCTCCAAATGGGCCCTTAATGAGGATCGATACTCCATAGGTATCATGTCTCTGCCCTGTCGGTTTAAACCTATTCGCAATGGCTTTCCCTAGTAAATTCATGGCTCAATCCACCATTCCGTTGTATCTAAGCCACTCGACAAGAAATGAATGAGGAATACCAGGTTCAAATCCGCAAGTTTCGTTTAAAAATACAATTATTTAAGAAAACTGCCCAACACCTAGAAAACATCTCTATCGCACATACTTATTCTAAATAATACTAGCAATCAGTCTTCTACCCGAATCGATATGGTGGGTTGAAATGACTTACCATAAATCGCTTGTGGAAGTCCGAACGCAGAAGATCATTGACAAATTCTTTCCTTTTATTCTTGTCGCTCGTGCCGCGTGCTTGATTTTTGAAGATAACATCATCATCCCACCTACGTTTCACTTGAAAATCACCAGATCCTCTATTAAGAAGAGGATTTCCGCGAGCGACGTCGTATTCGTTCTTTTCTTGCTCTTGGGCGGCTTTTTCAGCTTCCTGTGGGGTTGAAAATGTCAGATGACAGTTTAGAGATTGAACTAGTGAGTTAATTACCTCGCGCTCACGAGCTTCAGCCCTTTCTTTCTTTATCTTTTCCAATTCTCGCAGTAGCTCGGCAGTCTCATCTTCTTCGTCGTCACTTTCTTCATCACTGCTCTCGCTGGCACTCCCTCCGTCCGAGTCTGCGTCTATGTCCCGGGTCTCTTCCAGTACTCTCCGTCTCTTGGCCTCAGCATTCTCTTCCTCGCCATCCTCGCCCCCACCAATTCCACCATCCTCAATAGCTCTCTTTGTGCCCACAGAAGGAGACGTAGGATCCCTTCCAGGGCCTTCTAATTGTGCCCCCTTTCCGCCGTTGATTTTCGCATAATGGGCAGCCTCTGCCTTGAGCAGCTCAGCGCGGAGATCACGGACTTCTGAATCGGCTTCACCTCCTTGGCCGGGTTGGCGGACCTTGAGTTTGGTATGTGCTGGGAGGAGACGTTGGTGGTAGGCAGGGCCCTTGGGAGCTTCTTTACCACGGGCTGGATCGAAGGTTGGTCTGTGGCCACGGTCATCATTGATTAGCAAAAATAAGTCTTCGTATAAAGCTTTGATCGGGTTTAGTGGATCACCTGTGAGCTGTAGTCATTGTTGCTACTAGGAAGAATAATTTGAAGGTTCTGGCCTGGAAGAAATGAAAACTACAAGTAGCTGTTCAAGAGGCGTGGCTATGTAATTCGGGTGCGCTAGCCATATTCAGCCGCATGCAGCTTTTCGCGCGAAAAGTTCACGTCTTCCCCAGAACCCCACCAGTGCTCTTCATAACTCCAATCCACTTACTGATTCTTTCAAAAAATGCCTAAGGAATTAGAACCTTCAACATGCGAAAAGACCTTCGTCCTCGAAGCCCTCAAAGAGAATCTCCGTATCGATGGCCGGAACTTTGAGTCTTTCCGAGAGCTCGAAATTTCATTCGGTGAAGATTATGGCCTTGCCGATGTCCAGTTGGGGAAAACAAGGTAAATCTATCTCTGCAAACAGTTGCGATAGTCTTTAACTTAAAACTGACGGTAAAACCGAGTTTCTTAGGGTCCTCGCTCGTGTCTCTGCCGAGGTTTCAAAGCCGTTCTCTGACCGTCCCTTTGATGGTGTTTTCCAAATTACAACTGAACTAGGGCCTATGGCCTCTCCCGCATTTGAAACCGGCCGGTTCGTCCTCAACAATTCGTCCTCCTTCTCGGTTGACTGTCCACTATTTATATGCATCCTTAAAGGCTAAAATCGAGAACCACAAATACAGACAGACGGAACAAGAGGTCCTCCTCGCACGTCTTATCGAGAAAGCCATCCGCCGCTCGAATGCCATCGATACCGAATCTCTTTGTATAGTTGCCGGTCAAAAGTGCTGGGCAGTACGTGTCGACGTGCATTTCCTCCATCACGATGGCGGGCTGATCGATGCATCTTGCATAGCAGTTGTAGCTGCTCTACAGCACTATCGCAGACCTGACGTTTCGGTTGACGGCGAGAAAGTTATAATTCACACACTCACTGAACGTGTACCTGTCCCGCTTTCAATTCTCCATGTCCCTATCTGTGTCACCTATTCATTCTATCATGGCGGGGAGGTATCTTTGGTCGATGCTACACTACAGGAAGAGCAGTTAAGAGACGGAGATATGACTATCACACTAAACAAGTTTGGTGAGGTATGCCAGATTGCGAAAGCAGGTGGTTTGCCTATTAGAGCATTGGCTCTGTTGCAATGTGCGAGGATTGCATTGGTCAAAGTGCAGGAAATTACGGCGTTTCTCCAGAAGAGGCTTGAGGAAGACTCAGCAGCGAGGACGAGAAGAGAGAACTTGTTGGAAAGCACGGCGCAGAACGCAAGATAAGAAAAAGAAAATTGTAATCGTTCGTCCAGATTGCTATAATGCACACTCGTACACATGAAATATAGAAATAATTATGTGGAGGTGTGGGATCCCACGCTTGATCGACCTAACACTTTTTCAAGGCTCTCTTTCCATCGAGTGATAAACCATGTCTAGGACAAATTTATTTTTATTTTATTTTATCTGAACCTTCAAACCCTGATAGTCCTATAATTCACCGTAAACTTGTAACTAAACCAGGGTATTTAGACTAGGCACATGTACTCTATATATATGTATTACGGTTCTGTCTACATTTCTAGACCGGATATATACAGAGGGTGGTAAAATTATTGCGAAAACAAGGGTAGGTGAGTGCTGTGGGCCCGCACAGGTGGGCGAGTGCTGTGATTGGGTGAGGAGGAACCTCAGGCGGGCTTTAGGTAGGCTTTAGGCGGGCTTCAGCGGTTCACGGCTTCAACATCGGACCAAAATCTCTGAAGTGGGAGGTTTTGTATACTCGCTAGGGTTTTTAGCACGCTCGCCAACCCCTGTTTTCGCAATAATGTTACCACCCTCTGTATAAGCCTATAGGAGGGTCGATCCGGTAGCTTGTATCTCGGCGCGATGCGTCAAAACACCAAGTAGTATACAAGACACCAGGCGTAAGGATAATGCACCGTTAATTTCGCTATGAGTACAACCTCTTGTACTAAATAAATGCCATCAGACGAGTCACAAACTTCTAGAGCTATTGACAAGAGTCATAGTTACACAAAAAAAGCAAACAAATGGTATCAGTGATGAGATATCATCGGAAAAAACAGGTGAAAGTGCAAGTACATAGCAACATAAGTAACTATGTACGTCATGCAATGTTAATACGAAAAACTAACAAACACTACAGTGCAATAAGGAATAGAAATAACAAAGTGTCTTCTACAGAATATAAATTACTGGCGATATTTTCTGGCCATGGGTATTTGAATATCATCGCTATAAGGTATAAACCTACGTCTAGATTAATGAGCCTTCCCCTCGTGTACCTCCATTAAATACTTCACAAAGGCCTTCTTGTGCACCTATCCGGGCAATAGTTAGTTATGTATTAGAAGTTCAGGGCGTCTTCAACTTACAACTCCTGCAAATTGTCCATCTCGCAACACGCACATATATCGGAGACCCAACTTTGCGAAGCATTCATAGACTAATTCCATAGGCGAATGTCTCTCAAGTGCAACAGGTGCCTATAACAAAAAAATAAGTAACTGTTAAGGGAAAATTGTCAAGCACAAAGGACGCAACACTTACCGGATCAATATAGGGCGAGAAGTCAGTCGGATCTTTTACCGAAACACCATCCGAACTATTATCAGATGAATCCTCCCTTGGCGCCATGAGACAAAATTCATCCTCTTCTGAATGAAGATTATCGAGAGCAAATTCCAAATCCGGTGCTGGAATGAGCCCCACAAGGATGCCACCCCTGACAATCGGAAGACCACCATCTAATTCTCCGGCGTTTTGCAGCATCCGCAACTTATCACGAAGCTCCTCCGCTGGAACAAGAACAGAATCTGTAATATCTATCAAACGTTCGGGCCTTAATCGGGGTGTAATATCAACAAGTTGAGAAGAGAAAACAGGTCGCATTTTGGTATCGAGGTAGGGATATGAGTTTAGAGCAGTTAGAAGATCCTATTTTTGTTTAGTCATACGTATCATGTAATAGTAGTTAGAAACTAACATAGATGCTCAATGGCTCAATGGCATCGGCCGTCCATTTAGACACAAGTACTGCAAGAGAGAACGGCAGGACATGGTCGAGACTACCGGTCATTTCAAATAGAATGACTGCAAGTGTTACTGAAAGCCGAGTGACACCACACATTACAGCGCCGGCGCAAACCTAAGGGAACATTAATTACATGTAATCATGGCAATATAAGCACCCATCGGGGCCACATACCAATGCGTATACTCCTGGAACTACGCATGCCGATGGGGCGCCTCCAATAGGGCATGATTCGAATAAGGCTGAGTTCGGAAACTTGCTAGATAGGATATCAAAACTTGTCCGGAGTAAATATTGAGGGGGGGTTGGCACTTACTAGACGGCATATTCAACGGCTAAACCAACAGTGTGTCCCATGATACCACCAATAACCATAGTAGGTACGTAAACTATATTTTATAAGCAGAAATACTAAGTACGTTTTCGAGGGACAATAAACTAACCTCCGGCAGGGACTTTGGTTCCAAAGGTTATAACGCTTTGACACTTGTTACTACATGTATATACAAACCCAAGATGCAATGGTAAACTTACGTGAGAACACTTTTGATGGCAAGAGCGACCAGTAAATACAGTATGGTCTCTGGAATCTCATCTGGCTCAGGACACAGCCCAGAATGTTGAGATTCGCTTCCTGTGCAGGGACTTGCGAGCTCAAAAAGTAACTCGCTGACAGCCAACCGAACATATCGATTCCAGTACGAGATCAAACCAGTAGCGAGGGCAACAAAACTGAGTTCGAGAACTGGATAGTTCTTGATAATCTTATTCTTTCGGAAAGTTGTAGCCCAAAACTTGCTGGCTTTGATGAAGAGAGCGCCGTACACACCGCCACAAACACCGAGAAATACGAAGGCAACGAGCTCAAAAATATGCCAATCAGTAACATAGCGAACCTCGAATAGCACAATCTTGTTTGTTCCATATGGATTTAAGAATTTCAAGGATAACGCGGCCACCTGTGACAGTCAGAATAACTCTCATTGCGGTATATGGCGGTAACAACTTACAATGCAACAGAAGAATGTTCTGAATAATGTTTTTGGTGGGAAGTAGTAGCTACTAGGGATTAGATTTTGTGAAATACGACGGACTGGAAACAAAACGGTCTATGAGAACGCACCTGACTTCCTCAAGACTGAACAAAACACCGCCGATGGGGGCGCCAAACGCAACCGCGACACCAGCCGCTGCACTTGCACTGAGCATTTCCCTACGTTTCCCTATGGAAAATGAGCATCGCACAGGCAATCAAACAAGGGTATAATTTACCATCGTTGTGGTTATATTTTGGAAATAAACGGCAGGCAATGTTTCCGACGCATGTAGCAATATGGACGTATGGGCTAGTATATATATGTTAATATAAGTAATCGCGTGGAAAATAGTCATCAGTTTTCGCACCCTTCCTTTCCCAAACTCAGGCCTGATGAAACACTTAAAATCAGGGCAAATGTTTTGACCACAAGCGTTTTCAACCCAAGATATCCCTTATAAAGTGTCAGCAATATTACTATCAACAACAATAGACACTACCTAAACGGGGACACGTACGTGCAGAACAAATCCAGATAGGATAACCTTCACTTCTGCGACACCACTACCTGCAGCAGAATAATAAACGGTGGGTGCAGCGTTCACGGCCTTTGATTCTGAATTGCTCTGCCCTTCACCATCTACTCTGGATATTTGTGTCAAGTCCTCGTCTACATTCTGGATTTGTAGGGCACCTGGGTATATCGTTCGAGTGGTCATTGTCAATAACGAAGATGCTGTGGCTAACACCACTGTGAAAGCGACATAGAATATATAGTCAATATACTCAGTCTTCTTTTCTGAACCCGTGACTAATTGTGACCAATGCCTCCACATGGGACAAAATGATGTTGCTTTTAAAAACGTTAGCATAGCAATTACAAGAGGCAATCACGATAGTGAAGTGTTTGCAAATACTGACCGCTGTCACCTAAACAACATTTTTTCTTACTAAAGTACCACCCATCTTCCAACCAGAATGTCAGCCCTGTCTATATTGATTCTCGAGTGGATCATGAGAACTCACTCGTGCAATAGCCTTCCTTGTAATCAAACAGGACATTCTCCGTGACATCAACAAAAAATGCCAAGCAGGCCACGATGAAGCCTATTATAGCAACTAACACCCACCCTTGAGCGCCATCAAACCAAGCATGCAATCTGCCGCGAAAGTCCTTACGAGCTCTGAGAGCTTTAACCCTATTTGCATCTTTTATGGAATCATTTATCCAATCTGCAAGACTCCAATGTAAGCAAAGCTTTTAGCCCATTTAAACTATTTTTCAAAAGCGCTATTATGCCGTACCAGTGGATGTAAACTATTTTAGTGAAGAAAATCAGTTTACAAGCCTTATTGATTGCATAACAGGATACCTACCTGATCGTACCACACCCTCTCCTCCAACAGCGACTCGGTTGTTTTGTTCTTGAGATCATGATTTGATAGTGCGCTTGTCAGTCGCTGCGCAAAAGAAGGAATCCGACTTTGAGTGTCCTGTGGAGAAGCAGTCGAGTGATGTCGGGAAATTCGCGGGCGAGGCGTCGAAGGGACTGTTGAGTAGTCTCGTCGACGTCCGTGAGGCTCCTGAACCCCAAGTAAACTCGATCGCTCATTCCAATCGGTATTGCGGGATGAAGCCGATAACCTCCGACGGTGACTTCTGGATCTTCGGCCTCCCATAAGGTCCTCCTCAGAGGCCCGACGCCTTGAGTCGTTCGTACTTTCCCCTTCCATCGCGCGGGAGTGCGTTGCAATGTATATCCAGAGTGCACCGAACAGAGATGGACTCAAAAGAAAGGGTGCGACAGTGTATGACTCCGGGAGAAAGATAAGACGAAAGACAAAGGGTAGTAGGGTTTTTTTTCTCTAATATCACCGTGATCTATCTCGTGGGGGCGGTCTTAAGCGCACGCGTGATTGAGTGTCACCTGGGATGCAGGGATGTGTCGGGACCAGGACGCGGATCCATCGTCATATAATATACAAGTGGTTTCCGGCCTTCGGCCGGTTAGGACAATGAAATCAGCTAGTCTCGTCCAAATGTGACAGGTCGTCTTGGAAATGTGATATATTGACAGAAAGTGATATATTACATGTACGCTAGGCTGACTCAGGACTAGCGCGCAGCATTGCTGGGTGAGGATCCCCAACTCCACCGCCACCTCCACCTCCACCTCTACCTCTACCTCTACCTCTACCTCTACCTCTACCTCTACCTCTACCTCTACCTCTACCTCTACCTCTACTCTACCTCTACCTCTACCTCTACCTCTACCTCTACCTCTACCTCTACCTCTACCTCTACCTCTACCTCTACCTCTACCTCTACCTCTACCTCTACCTCTACCTCTACCTCTACCTCTACCTCTACCTCTACCTCTACCTCTACCTCTACCTCTACCTCTACCTCTACCTCTACCTCTACCTCTACCTCTACCTCTACCTCTACCTCTACCTCTACCTCTACCTCTACCTCTACCTCTACCTCTACCTCTACCTCTACCTCTACCTCTACCTCTACCTCTACCTCTACCTCTACCTCTACCTCTACCTCTACCTCTACCTCTACCTCTACCTCTACCTCTACCTCTACCTCTACCTCTACCTCTACCTCTACCTCCGCCCCTCCTACCTGCCTCCACCTCCGCCCCTCCTACCTGCCTCCATATTGACACCTATGCTAACGTCTATATAGACTCCTAATTCGACACCTAATTCACGCCTAAATCGACGCCCAAATCGACGCCTAGGAGGCATCAAACCGAGCACCGCACCGAGCACCGCACCGAGCACCGCCTCGAGCACCGCACCGAGCACCGCCTCGAGCACCGCACCGAGCACCTTTTCGAGCACCGTTTCGAGCACCTTTTCGAGCACCGTTTCGAGCACCGTTTCGAGCACGTTTTCGAGCACCGTTTCGAGCACCGTTTCGAGCACCGTTTCGAGCACCGTATCGACCACTGGCGCAGGCGTAAGTAGGGGTACAGGCGCAGGCAGGAACCAGGCGCTGGGTGGTAGGCGCGGGTGCGGGCGCGGGCGCAGACATATGTACATAGCATTATATTACTATTATTACTCCGCATGGTTCTTATTCAGTGCTGTCATTGGTGATATTGGGTGAGAATCCTAGGAGGGTAGCGATTGACATTGAAAGATTCTTAGGAGGACAACGATGGATATTGGGAGGACAACGATGGACATTGGGAGGCCTCTGAGAGGGCAGCGAAGAGTGCTTAAAGGATAGTGAGAGGTATTGTTAGGGCTCTGATAGGCAATAAGAGAATTCTATGAGGGTAGCGATGGACATTCGGGGATTCATGGGAGGGTAGCGATGGACATTGGGGTGTTCCAGGGTTCTAGTGCTGGGAGCAGGTGTTGGGTGCTGGTATTGGAAGCGGGTACTGGAGTGACGCGGGAATTGGGAGTGGGTGTTGGTGCTGGTGCTGGGAGCGGGTACTGGAGTGACGCGGGCATTGGGCATTAGGAGCGGGTGTTGGGTGCTGGTATTGGAAGCGGGTACTGGAGTGACGCGGGCATTGGGCATTAGGAGCGGGTGTTGGGTGCTGGTATTGGAAGCGGGTACTGGAGTGACGCGGGCATTGGGCATTAGGAGCGGGTGTTGGGTGCTGGTATTGGAAGCGGGTACTGGAGTGACGCGGGCATTGGGCATTGGGAGCGGGTGTTGGGTGCTGGTACTGGAAGCGGGTACTGGAGTGATGCGGGCATTGGGCATTGGGAGCGGGTGTTGGGTGCTGGTACTGGAAGCGGGTACTGGAGTGACGCGGGAATTGGGAGTGGGTGTTGGTGCTGGTGCTGGGAGCGGGTACTGGAGTGACGCGGGCATTGGGCATTAGGAGCGGGTGTTGGGTGCTGGTATTGGAAGCGGGTACTGGAGTGACGCGGGTATTAGGCATTGGGAGCGGGTGTTGGGTGCTGGTATTGGGAGCGGGTACTGGAGTGATGCGGGCATTGGGCATTGGGAGCGGGTGTTTGGTGCTGGTGCTGGGAGCGGGTACTGGAGTGACGCGGGCATTGGGCATTAGGAGCGGGTGTTGGGTGCTGGTATTGGAAGCGGGTACTGGAGTGACGCGGGCATTGGGCATTGGGAGCGGGTGTTGGGTGCTGGTACTGGAAGCGGGTACTGGAGTGATGCGGGCATTGGGCATTGGGAGCGGGTGTTTGGTGCTGGTACTGGAAGCGGGTACTGGAGTGATGCGGGTATTGGGAGCGGGTGTTTGGTGCTGGTACTGGAAGCGGGTACTGGAGTGATGCGGGTATTGGGAGCGGGTGTTGGGTGCTGGTATTGGGAGCGGGTACTGGAGTGATGCGGGCATTGGGCATTGGGAGCGGGTGTTTGGTGCTGGTGCTGGGAGCGGGTACTGGAGTGACGCGGGCATTGGGCATTAGGAGCGGGTGTTGGGTGCTGGTATTGGAAGCGGGTACTGGAGTGACGCGGGCATTGGGCATTGGGAGCGGGTGTTTGGTGCTGGTACTGGAAGCGGGTACTGGAGTGATGCGGGTATTGGGAGCGGGTGTTTGGTGCTGGTACTGGAAGCGGGTACTGGAGTGATGCGGGTATTGGGAGCGGGTGTTAGGTGCTGGTGCTGGGAGCGGGTGCTGGTTCAGGTAGGGTAAGGCTTCTAATATTCGGGCGCGTCGCTGTCGTTGGGTTTCCCCTCTTCCCCTTTTTCCCTTAACACCCATTCACAACACCCATTCACAACGCCCTTCGCTTGCGAGTTCAAACACACAACACCCTTCGCTTGCGAGTTCAAACACATAACACATGAGAGAGAGTTCAAATAAGATAGAAAGCCAAATATTTAGGTGCTTTGCCCTTGATATCCTTCTATACTTAGGAGTACAATCGCTTGTTGTTGTTGTTGTTGTTGATTCCCCTTTCACAACACCCTTCGCTTGCGAGTTCAAATAAGATAGAAAGCCAAATATTTAGGTGCTTTGCCCTTGATATCCTTCTATACTTATGAGTACAAACACTTGTTGTTGTTATTGATTACCTGACTCACCTACAGCTTCTACAAACCCGATCCACAAAAATGCCTCCTATCCGATCCAAAAGAATACCACCCCCCAAAGCATACAAAAAGGCCATCAATGAAATTGCTATATATATAGCTAGCAAACCCTCTCTTCTGCAGAAAATCAGAGATAATAAAATTGATTCTCTTGTTTCTTCTATTAAGAGAGAGTTCTGTAATGTTGCCGATGGAGTTAACGATGGCATTTTCAATGATCTTGCTGCCTTCCTCAACCACCCCAAACAAATGAAAGAGCCGAATAGCTATACAGAACTAAGAGAAGCGATGAAGCAGAGGAAGGAGGAGAAGGAAAGAATTAAAAGAATTAAAGCTTTATTTGTTGAGGAGTGTAATCTCAAGGAGGACGATGCAAGGAGAGACAAATATTTGGAACAGTTTACGATTGTGGAGGTAACCCGATATCAAACACCTTACCCTCCAGCCAGTAATTGGGTGTATGAGTCCGAGCAAATTCATGACATTTGGCATGACCATCTCCAGCTTGGTAAGCCGAAGGATAAAAGGCTAAAAGTACCACCGATGCTACTTTTGGAACAACAATATCTCCAACTAGATGTTGCCGAGGATCAAAACTGCATTTTTGTCGATTCCAAAACTAAAGAGATTGTTGGGTTGGTTGCTAGGAATTGGATGGCCGAGGACAGAAAAGAAACTCTGGATTGGGTCAATGAGATTATTATCAAGGAATGTCAGATCAGGAAATCAGTCCGAGTAAGTATTATTTCTCTCCAAATTTTACTTTTGCGAGTGCTAATTATTTCTTAGCTTGAAGATACTGGCAAACTTTGTCAAATGGGATATTCAGCTGGTTCCAGAAGCAAAGCCAGTTTCGATTGGGTTAGAAATATCACTTCCAAGAAAAACCGAATGGAAGACTTTGAGCACTTTGGCAGCTATATTTTTGCTCTTCTTTGGAACATGAGTAAGGGTAGATTGCCGAAGCCGATTATTGAGGATATAACTGGGTTTTGCAATTCTACCTTAATTCCGAGAATGAATTATGCTGCTAAAGACAGGGCTACTTCTCAAATCTGGGGGAACTATACTGTGAGGGTGCAGGATGATGACATTGAGTTTGACTGTGTTCCGATGGCACCTCCTTCTGGATTTATGGCATATAATTATGCAAGGTAATATTCACTCCGAGTACTTATTTATCATTATTGCTAATTAATAATAGGGGTACTCATAATGAAAAGTGCCCTCATAAGTATGCATTGTTCTGGACTACAGCTAGGACATATGGGTCCGAGGAGGGGGGACACTTCTTCATTGCCGATTATGGAATCAGAATCAAACAATCAGCCAACTCAGTAGTAGTTTGGAAGCCGACTGACTTTCATGGGACTACTTTATCAGTAAAGGGTCCCACCGATGAGTCTGATTCCCATCAAATTGGTATGAGTATTGTCACTCCTGTCCGATTGGTAAAGTTGTGGGAAAAATATCAACAGGATCAAATTACTGCCGATAATATTGAAGCTATTTTGGTTGAGTCCGATGAATCCGAGGAGGAATAAATTGTTATTTCCTATATTATGTAGTATTATTATTGATGTTACTGAAAATCTCCACTCCTGTATTAAGTACCGATAGTTATTTCAGCTGCCAGTTAGCAATAATAACTATCAATTATTGTGTACTGATTGTTTTAAAAAATAGCTTTAAAATTAAAAAAAAAATAAGAAAAAATTTTTTTATAATAAAAGGCTTCTATATACAATATTTTTAACTTTGTTTTTATCCCCAATATCACTAATTGAAATATCATGATCCAATAAACACCTAATATTGTCTCTATTTCTGACTCGGGAAATACTCGTATACAGTTGACCATGTGCAAATACAGGAGTTCTGAGATCGATGACAGCTCTATCGAGTGTTAAGCCTTGACAACTATTAAAGGTTGTCGAGTATGCTAGTCGTAAAGGGAATTGTCTTCTCTGTACTGTCCAAGAGCAATATTTCGGTTGAAATTCAAATACGATTCGGGGGAGACAAAAGACAGTTGTATCTCGTCGAATATTATCTGCAGTAGATATCAATTCAACTTTGACAAATCTTTCATGTAGCTCTTTAATAACTACTCGGGAATTCTTAACCAAGCCATTCTCCAGTGATAGATTTCGCATAATCGAACAAACACACCCGACTTTCAAAATCAATTTGTGTGTAGGCACACCAGGCTCCTTCAACATAGATAGAAAATCTAGAATCTCCCCTGATGGTAGAATGTTGATAGCCGAGGATGTGAAGTTAGGGTCCTCTTTGATACAATCGTGGCTGTAGTATGTTCTTTCTGTAATAAATAATTATATCAGTATATTGTAAATTTTAATTGGAAGGAAAATAAATATACATACCCTCCATTGTCGGGAATCTTTCAAGAATCGCAAGGTTAAATTGATCCACATTGATATTCAAAGGACTAAGGAAAGCATGATGGGAAACAATCGCTGGATTTTGCAATACTTCTGTGGGAAATAGAAAGTCAATTGCCTCTTCGATTGAGTCTAAAGACTCAATTAAATCCAGATTGACAAACGATTCATTTGATTCTTGACAGCCATCTCCAATTTGATCTACCCACTCGGCATATTCCAAATCAGATGCATTTCTTATAGGTGTATCCAATCGTAAAATTTTGAATTGTTCCCAAAGATAGGATGATCGTATAGATGCTTCGAGTGTAGCTGTTGGTCCTGCAGATTTAACCACTGATGCTACCTGTCGAAAGTCCCCTAAGCCAAGAAATACTTTGCCACCAAATGGTTTGCCATTTGCAAGCACGAGTTCCAAGAACTCATCTGCACATTCAATTGCTGCTTTGTTGGCCATAGGCATCTCCTCCCATATAATTAAGCTTGACTTCGATAGTAATTTGGCCCGATCTGATCTGATACTCAAAGTCGATTGTAGCTCCATATTATTCTAATATCGTAATGTCAGTAGCTGTCTTCACTAAAACCCCCTCATAGGATAGCTTTACTTCAACGACAGGAATACCAAATGCAGAATGTGCAGTACGACCTCTCTCATATAGTGTAACACTCAAAGCTGTCGAACCAGTAATAACAACAATGTCTCCTTGCCCTCTTAGATAATTTACGATCGTATTTACAACATATGTTTTGCCCCGACCAGCTTTTCCATCCAGAAAGAAACATGTATGTTCAGGAATCTCTCCGATAGCTATTTTATCGATATTATTCATGATAGTATCAAAAGCATCTAGCTGTTGGGGTAATAACTGTTCCTGAGATGCTATTGCCATCTCAGTAAGTTCGGTTCTACGATGATCAAATGCAAGAGCCTCCATAGATATTTCATCTATGAGGTTTTGAGGTTGAGGTAATCCAAAATCAGTCAACCTACTGCCTTGAGCAGCAAGGTGTTTTGCAATCCCCTCCAAACATTTATTCATAACCATTATCGGAGAATCGTATTGGTCAAGATAATCTGCCGAAAGAGCCTCCTGATATTCCTCGAACAACTCAATGGCTGTAACTGGAATATTCATCAGGAGATGTGCAAACAGGAATCGTAGCTGATTAGGACTGCAAAAGCTTTGGACTGCTTCTGCCATAATTTCTTTACCTTCCGACTGGTTTTCGAAGAGACCTAATGCTGCTGCTGCCTCTTGAAATGTCGAGTATGTAATTCGATTGACAGTTTTTAGGTCCCCGAAACTATAAGCTGATCGATGCAGTAGGAGAGCTCGTAGGTAGAATAATTCTCCAGTTCTAGGGGAGACTGTATCGATCCGGGCTATTGCTTCATTTCTTCTCCTAGCTCTTACAATAAACTGTGGATAACTATTGCATATCTCTTCAAGGAAATCGGTATCTTTGAAAATGGTTGACGACTTCGAGTAGGGAATCCACTTCTCGTAGTATTGAATATATGTCAAATCTTGGAATACTGTATTTCGGGGCCTAGAGAAATATCTAAGCAAAGTCGATGCTGTAGATTCCCCACCATCCTTTCGGTACATTTGATGCATGTTTCTTCCAGGTAGATGAACTGTAAGCGATTTGACTGCAGGCGATCGTTCTGTTATATGGTATTGCAGGATCCTCCATGCTGCCTCCGAGGCAGACAGATACCTCGCATTGATATAGTCATTGATCTCGTCAACCTCCTGCTGTCCTTCAACATTGAAAGAAAATAATGTTCGATCGGGTCCTTTAAACAAATACTTATACAGATACATGAAAATATTAACTGTAAAACATATATCGACATTAACATGACATTCTAGTAGCTTAGTAAGAAATGGCATATATGATGCTATCCATCGATCTTCTTCCTTTCTTCTTCTATACTGTACTCGACCATATTGATTAAGCTCTGTAGTTTCCTGAATCGCTTGTGGGTATCCCCAAATACAGGATCCATTTTTGTTACACCGACTGTTGAGAGAATTTAAATGTGTTTGGGGGTGTTGATTGAATCGTAGAACCAATTCTCGCAGGACAGGATCTTCCTCTTCTGTAGGTACTTCGGCAGAGACGATGGAATCAATACCTGAGAAAGGTAACTCGGGATTCACCTAATAATTTTTAGCATCAACCTCAATTGGGTTTTCGATTATCTTACTTTAATAACAATATGTGCATGTGGTAACCCCCTCTTTTGGAATTCTATAACCCGAACAATGTAAACCATCGTTACTAAATGGCTCCGAATTTTGGCAATAGCATTCTCTAGCTTTGCTTTAAATACCCGACAAACAATAATTGGTATATCTGAAGCATTCTGTCCTGGATTCAACCGTACTTTAATTTCTGGCCAGTTAGGATTTGTTGTAATCGTGATAAAAAATGAGGGTTTGCCTCTTGACCGACAGATAGCAAGAGAGTCGGCAACCTCATTTGATGCCCATGCTCGGGAACCTAGGAAAGAGTTGGGTAGTGTCGTGCCTTTCTCGATAGGTAAATCTCCTTCTGCCTCTGCATTTGCAAATTGCTGAATGTATTGTCTCTCTCGCCCTTTTCGTATATAGTCCAATCTTTCATCTTCCACTCTCGAGTACATATCCACCAAGTATTCTCCACACAATCTACCAAACCTCATAAATCGGTTCTCTGTTGTGAGTCTGGCTCTATACCATCGAATTTGACTGATATCGGATTTGCAGTCCCAACCAGGTGTACCATGAGGAAAGAAAACAGGATATTGTAATGGCTCGTAAAGAGGACTTAATATACTGATAGCTTTTGGACGATCGAGGATATTGTTGTAAACTAATACACTCCGAGGATAGACTTTCTGTATATTATTGGCATGTATAATCGCAGCAATTTCCCCACCACTTATTGGTGTATATAACTCTAGTGCAAGTGGGGTATCTGTTGCAGTGGTAAATGCTGCTCGGAGATGGTAAACAAAAGGATTGATATCTTCTAGTAGGTTTCGAAAGCTGTTAACTAGGGAGGAGGGTACACCAAGCTCAAAAGCTAGTGAGTCTCTTGAATCCTCATCGTGAAGGAACCATCGAATTGAATGTTGACCTCGATTGGCATCCAATAACTGATGGTATACTCGTCCTGTTATAGCAACATTTGAAGGTGTCGGTAACTGTCGAAATCCACCTGTAACTCCCAAAATTGAAAATGAAAAAATGTTATTGAGCTTTCGGCTGATCCTACTCAACTGAGAGTCATATTGCTCAAATTCAGTTTCAGTATCGGGTGGATATACTGGTAGGGAGGGTAATCGATATTTTCCATTAGTACAACACCAACCATTATTTTCACTAGTTAATAAGGCTGCACCACAATAAGTGCATTGTTTTGACCAACTAATAATATATGGGCGGAGATGGGTTGTTTTTGTAGGTAAAATATCCCACCAATTGTTAGATGGTGAATTTGTTTCTATATTGCTTTGGTTTTGTGTAGTTTGTCGGCGATTTATGATTTGATGTTCAGCTCGGGAATTTAATCGCATCTCAATTCGGTCTAATTGTGAGCTGGAGGCTTGGGAGTTTCTATTTCTTCTTGCTCGGTTCCGATTCGAAATCCTGAAATCGTCGGTTGATTGTCTGGAATTGGTTCTTGGCATTTTTGCAATAAAAATTATATTTAATATAGAAATCTGTTCGATAAATTTCTAAAGAGAACATCCGATAGTTATATATATCCTTGATAATAATACACTCTCCCGACTAAAATAAAATAGCTAACAATGAGTCAGAAACCCATATATCCAATACCAAACTTATTCTACTCAGAACCAACATCCCCAATAATGTCATCCCCAATCTCTTCAAACTCGTCATCGACAGAACAGTCATTAGATACACTCAAAGCTTTCTTTTTGGCTGGTGTAGTAGGTTTGGAAATAGAAGATAAGCTAACAGTAATTTTTGGAGGGAGGGGAGAACTTGAATAGAAACTTGAATCATCCATCGCAGATCTTTTCTGAGCCCGAGCACCCCAAGATCTTCCAACATTTTTAGTCTCCGATCTACTTGAGGTTTCTCCAACAGACCCACCCCCCAATCCCGATTGCATTACTGAAATATAATTTAATGACGACACTATACAACCAAGAAAAGAATGTGACGATGCATTATCAACGATGACTCTACCAACTAATTTCCCAGTGATTTGGATTACACTATCGATTTGGGGTAATTTTGTGCTCTCCCACCTCTTTCCTGCTGGTATGTACCACCTAATAACAAAATACTTTCGGGAAGCTGATTTGGAGGCAGCCTCTAAATCGTAATAGGAGGATCGTAAATCAAAAGATCTCCAGCCAATAGGGAGAGACTTGATAGTACCCTTAGGTTGTCCTACAACCTTTCCGACTGAGTATATAGTGGCACAGGAGGGTGCAGGGGCTATCTCATCAAATCGTGGATGTGTCGGGTCACCAGCAAATCTAAGTGGAAAATTATTAGTTCTAATATATTACACAGTAAATCAATTACTTACTCGCTCTTATTCAGTAAAGAAATAACAACTGGTTTGTCTTTACCCATATCGCAGAATCTGCCTGAACATATTCCAACAGAGTTTTCGGTGGATTCTGTAAGAGAATCGCTGACAAAACAAATGATTCGGCATGGTATATCTTCCTCGTCGATTACTGAATTTGGTAGATCTTCGCTCCAGCAAAATAAAGTAGAATCGTAAATTTTGAGATAGCCAGTTTTGTCTGACTTGTTAGTGAATTCAAGCATGCAGTGAATTTCGGTAGAGGCATTCTCGTTGAATATTTGAGGCATCGTATGATAAAATATTGTAGGCAGAGAGTTTTGGAATTGATTGATTAAGCTAAAAAATAATGTGCGATCAAGAGTAACTTTAAACTAAAAGTCTAAGAATCAAAACTTTGACTAACCCTAATATCAATAGCAACATTTAATAATATTTTGATTTGTTATCAATACCAATTCACGCACAAAGTAAATTTGCAGGAATCATTAAAAGAAAAAAGCAAAGTTCCCGATTTCAATAGAAAGAATAGGCAAAATACCCGAATCGCCACTAACATAATTAGAGGGAAGAAGCAATCGCCACTAACATCAATAGGGGGAAGAAGCAATATCTCCGAATTCAATAGAAGGAAAAAGTAAGGTCCTTGAATCGCCACTAACAATAATAGAGGGAAAAGCAAGATTCCCGAATCGCCACTAACATCAATAGGGGGAAGAAGCAATATCTCCGAATTCAATAGAAGGAAAAAGTAAGGTCCTTGAATCGCCACTAACAATAATAGAGGGAAAAGCAAGATTCCCGAATCGCCACTAACATCAATAGGGGGAAGAAGCAATATCTCCGAATTCAATAGAAGGAAAAAGTAAGGTCCTTGAATCGCCACTAACAATAATAGAGGGAAAAGCAAGATTCCCGAATCGCCACTAACATCAATAGGGGGAAGAAGCAATGTCTCCGAATTCAATAGAAGGAAAAAGTAAGGTCCTTGAATCGCCACTAACAATAATAGAGGGAAAAGCAAGATTCCCGAATCGCCACTAACATCAATAGGGGGAAGAAGCAATGTCTCCGAATTCAATAGAAGGAAAAAGTAAGTCCTTGAATCGCCACTAACAATAATAGAGGGAAAAGCAAGATTCCCGAATCGCCACTAACATCAATAAGGGGAAGAAGCAATGTCTCCGAATTTAATAGAAGGAAAAAGTAAGGTCCCCGAATCGCTAATTACATCAATACAGAAAAAAAAAATCTGGTCCCCGATTTGTTGCTTATATCAACAAAAAATATTATCAAAATATTACTAACAAAATATTACTAATCAAACTACCAAGAAAAAGCAATCTAATACCTGGCCAATCAAAACCTTTAAATAACACATTGCATATCGGTATATCTATATACTTATTAGATTTACATTTTTACATACATGTGTTTATTATAAATCGCAAGATTTTTTCTTCGTAATATCATATTGGACTGTAACTAGATGTGCCTACATGTACATACAAGTACGTTAACATGCTTACTCTAAAGTAGAAAAGGGCAGAGCGGTGCAGGATCCTTGGGATAGGTACAATGTACAATAACATGTAGTAAACCGTTTGAGCCTCCCGGGCCGAAAGCGCTGCATTACACC